TGACCAGATCTATTCAGCGGCATCTCCTGCTACTCTAGCCTTAACCCCATTCATCGCCAAGGATTACGTTTATGCCTTGGTGCTTTTCGCTCTTTCCCTGTCGAGAGCCTATATACAGAAGCGAACGTTCCATCCTTATCCGATCGCCGTGATGCCCATTGCCTGCGCTACTATGTACGCTCTCATGATCTCCGCAATCCTTCCATTTATAGAATGGTCACTGATATTAGTAGACATTTTTTATTTGTTCGCCGCCCCTGTTTACTCCGTCCCTTCTCTCTTCGCCTTCATTCGCTCTTGTCTTCTCTTCAACTACCACCTTTCTATATACATGTAGCATCTCACTTTTCCCTACCCCCCTGAGAAGTTCCAGCTGTTCAAGTCTGTTCTTTCTCCCTCCCTTGCTCGAAAGCCCAACTGTCTACGGTCGCTTCCCTCTCTCTTTTTCTTGACCACTTTCACTCTCATTCTCATTCCATTGCCGTGTACACAGATGGCTCTAAGTCTTCTGACGGCGTAAGATTCGCAGCAGTGTTTCCGGACAGTGTCGTACAAGGGCATTTACTATCTTTGGCTAGTATTTTTACTGTTGAATTGTATGCCATCCTTACAGCACTTATCCGTATTGCATCTATGCCTGTGTCATCATTTGTGGTTGTCTCAGACTCCCTTAGTGCTTTACAGGCTATACAAAAATTTGATACACCTCACCCCTTAGTCCTCTGTATCCAACTTTGGCTATGCCGCATCTTTACCAAGCATAAAGATATTGTTTTTTGTTGGGTCCCTGGTCATGTTGACGTACAGGGCAATGAACAGGCAGACACTGCTGCGCGGTCAGCAGTACATGACCTACCAGTTTCTTATAGAGGTATTCCATTTACGGACTATTTTGCTGCAATATCTTCCCACCTTCACACCTGTTGGCAACAACGTTGGTCTACTATGCTCGGCAACAAACTTCAATCTATTAAACCGAGTATAGGTTACTGGCCGTCTTCTTATCACCAGTGTCGAGGTTGGGAGACTACTCTCTCCCGTCTTCGCATTGGCCATACTCGTCTTACTCATGGATATCTCATGGAGAGGCGTCCTGCTCCTCTCTGTGAGAATTGCCAAGCTCCATTATCAGTCAGCCACATTCTGTTGGACTGCCCACTTTATCAACGAGCACGCAGAATTTACCTCTGTCGTCGTCTTCGCTCCGCTACTCTCTCTTTACCTTCCCTTCTCGCTGATGGACCCACCTTTCATCCGGACTCTCTCATTGACTTTTTGACAACTGACTTACTTCACAAATTCTGATACCTTCAGCCCTTTCTACTTCAATCTCTTGCTACCCTCTACCCCCGTACTATCCCCTGCCCCGCTGTTTTCTGTAACCTGCTGATCATCCCTCCTCCCTTCTGCCATCCAATACCCTCGCTTCCTTCCCTACCCTGCAGCGCTGTATAGTCCTTGTGGCTTAGCGCTTCTTTTTGATTATAATAATAATAATAATATTTCTACATGTACAAGGTATATAGGCCTAGCTGGCATCAATAACATACTGCTGCATAGAAAAACCCTGTGATGCAGAGCATTGTGGGCAAATTTGGTCAATTTTGTCCCAGGATGCGACCCACACCAGTTGACTAACACCCAGGTACCTATTTCACTGCTAGTTGAACAGGGACAGCAGGTGCCTTAAGGAAACACGTCCTAATGTTTCCACCCATACAGGGGATCGAATCACGGACCTCAGTGTGTGAGCTGAGTTCCCTAGAACCAGTGCGGCTCCTCCACAGAATAAGCAAAATACTCGCATAATTATATGGCAACACCCTTCAAGGGGACGTGAAGGGCACTATCCAAAAGTTTAACTGACCTTCCTCAGATTAAACCTGATTGCCATTTCACCCGGACGCCATAACTCTATAGATTTAGTACTTTATTTTATGTAACTTATGTACATTTAAAGTTGGTGGGTGTGCTTATAAACATATTTATCAAATTGAATTAAAAATTTCCATCCCCATGTGGCTCGTTCTGTATTATCAAATTGAGTTTTCTTGACCTTCGAAATTATCCTCTTGGTATAAAATTATTATTATGGGGGATTATTATTATAATCAAGGGGGAAGCGCTAAACCCGGAGGATTATACAGCGCCTGGGGGGGGGATGTGGAAGGCATTCAGGCTTAATTCGGGGAACTGGAGCACAGATCCAATTCCCTAAATCAAGAGCCCCTCACCAACATCAAGGAACCTTCCTTGAGGGGTATTATGGGGGAGCGCTTAACCCTTGGGGATTATAGTGCTCGTGGGGGGGGGGGTGGAATTCAAGAGGAATCGAAGCACATATCCAATTCCCTTGATCAAGAGCTACCTTGAAGGGGGATTGATATAGTAAGAGCTGATGTAACAAGGTACAATCCCTTGAAGGAGGATCTTTGAAGTTGGTGAGGGTTTTTTTCACCGAAGGAATTGGCCCTATTCATTTGATCAAAGCTGATTGCCCCCAAGGTTTAGTGCTCCCTTCCTAAATAAGTTCATTATTATAATCACAACTATGCGCCGAACTCACAAGTCATACAGCCTAAATAAATTTAGTATTGTTATATGATCCAAAGAATTATATTGATTGAGTGATGTGGGTTCGTCGTTGTCTCGGCCCGGGTCTTTTCCAGTTGGGGACCCGACATTGGCCTCCCTGGTGGAGGGAAGAAGGGTGTCGTCCATCTTTCTTCACTCTTGTACAGGGATCTCGCAGTGCCTTGCCCGGTTGGGGTCAAAAGGGTTAGAGGTAGCCTCCCCTTCCTTAAATCACCTATGTATAGCATGGGTTTAGTGCTTCCTGACACTTTAACACTCCTCTACCTCGAACTGGGTACATTTCTAGGCCTACTTTGAACCTTTACAGATTATTATTATTATAATCAAGGGGAAGCGCTAAACCCGGAGGATTATACAGCGCCTGGGGGGGGGGGATGTGGAAGGCATTCAGGTTTAATTCGGGGAACTGGAGCACAGATCCAATTCCCTAAATCAAGAGCCCCTCACCAACATCAAGGAACCTTCCTTGAGGGGAAACCTTTACAGAGCCTAATCAATGCACGGTTACTTAAGATTGCCGAGCCAATATCAGATAGCCCTAACTCGTTCCCAAGCGGAGTGAGAGATGCGAAGCAGTAGTTCTACACCTAGGTGGGTGTCCCAATGTTTTATAAGTACAAATATTAAGAGGACACTCAAAAAATCATAAAAAATATATAAGATACGGCAAGAGTATAAGGGTCTTAGAATGTGCCACTATACAACTTAAACATTCAAACCTCTTAAATATTCATCCATATGTTATTACAAACAGGACCAAGCGCCAAACCCACAAAGGTAAGGTCATCCCTTTGCCATTATTATAATCAACAAGAAGCGCTAAACCCACTAGGGTCATACACCGCTGCAGGGCAGGGGGTGGCTAGAGTAGATAATAGCCAGGGGTGAAGATAACAAGGTTAGAAAGGTATATGAGGGGGGGGGGGGGGTAAAGGAAGTATTATCAGTGTAACAAATCAGTTGGTCCAAGTCAAAAGATGGAGTCTGAATCAAAGGCAGAGCCGTCGACAAGGAGGGAAGATAGATTATTAAAATCTACTGTACAACTATGATATAATTCTTAAGTGTTAAGTAGTCTGTAAGCCAATAATGTTAAGTCGGCCCATAATGCCTAAGCATAACAGAGGCTCTCTTTACATTGCAACCCACTATTGTAAATACAAAATCTCAATGTGTTATTTGCAAAGACAAATAAATAAATAAATAAATAAATAAAAATAATCATGGGGAGCGGAGCACTAAACCCGTAGGATTGTCAAGAGAGAAAGAGTAAGGTTTGAGCGGTGACAAAGTCGGAGGAAAATTCTGCGTGCTATTCCTTAGCCATACATTTCTGAATGACGAGGGCTCATAAAGAGGGGCGATGTCTTGAAAAGCCTCTTGATCCAAGGGGCTTAGCTTATCCTTCCTTTGATCAACCTTATCCCTTCAGGCACTGTATGACCCCTATAACCTGGAGGGATTATACACACCAGTGGGGGAGATGAACACATTCAGATTTAAGTGAATTGGAGTACAGATAAAATTCCCTAATTATAATCAACACAAAGCGCTAAATCCACAAGGGTCATACTGCGCTGCAGAGCAGTGCCCACTTGCTTTATCACACTAGAGTGGGATGGATAGGATAAGATTATGGGGGAGCACTAAACCCGTAGGAGTCATACAGTGCCTATAGGGAGGGAATGGGAGTCAGGCTCATTATTATAATCAAGGGGGAAGCACTAAACCCATAGGTTTATAGTGCCTGTGGTGGGGAAGGCGTGGAAGGTATTCAGGCTTAATTCAGGGAACTGGAGCACAGATCCAATTCCCTAGATCAAGAGCCCCTCACCAGCATCAAGGAGGAAGGATAACAAGAGGTAGCTAGAAAGGGCTGTGAAATGTTCAAATATGTACCTTCAAAGGTTGTGCAATAAATCTGTTGCTGTCAAAATTCTTATAACTAATCACTGGGGTCATATGGCACTGGCCAGGCTGCATCAGCGACCTCCAGAATTCTTTAGTAGGCAGCAAACGCACAGGGAGGTACTACTGTCTTACCAAACGAGTTTAAGACAAACCTGTATTTTACATGGTAGGAGTGATAGTGTCCATCTCAAACACACAACAGGTGTATCTTGCTACTTTTACTTACAATTAGGTCACACTACACATGCATGTTTATGTATACACATCAAATTTTCTATTATTTTCCTTTCATATCCATGGGGAAGTGGAATAAGAATCTTTCCTCCTGTATGCCATGTGTATTGTACAAGTCAACTAAAATATCAGGAGAAATGGTCTAGTAACCCCTATTCCTGTACAACTTACTAAAATAAAGCCTTTAAAAATATATATAGTATATATTAGTTTATATATTTCATACTAAAGTCCACAAAGGATACAAGTACAAAGTTCAGTGAAAGGAAACTTATTTTTATTGTGCTGTAACAATAATAGGCACAGTCTTTGCTTTGGCAACCTTCATCTGTGCAGCAATACGATCCAAATCCCTGTGGCCCTGGGAGGTCAATCTGCGGCCACCATTGGGAGCCTTCTCCACAAGCTTCAGTGACTCCAGAGTTTGTAGAGCCTTACGGGCAACTGCACCAGAGCTCTTGCAAAAATGTGATGGTGCAGTTCCACGACTTTGACGTGCTGAAAAATAGAAATTAGATATGTAGTATTCAAGTAATTTATTACACAATTCACTTGGAAACAGGAAAATATGCAACAGTATGGTGGAAGCTGCCAACCATACCAGTTGTCCAAGGTAGATGTACACATACACACCTCCATTTTGTAATGTCCTGGTTACTGAATATGCTAGAGTTACGTGAAAAGGTATATGAACTGGTCAATTGAATTGGGAGCAGACAAATAAGGGAGGCAATAATTGTGCAAGCTACAGAATCCAGATTTGAGAAAGTGGGGCATGGCATGAGGCCCAATGGCATAAACAGCTATAGTGAACCTAGTGTTAGTATTACACCAAGGTTGGTACTGTGAACTAATTAGCTTGGGGACTGTGTATTGTTTGTTGTACAAAGAACTGCCATTAATAAACAGCAAATAGTTATCACAGACTGTTAGGCACTTTCACCAAGGACTACAACATCAAGAAACACAACTTCCTCTATGTCTATTAAATGCAGTGTAACTAAGTAAAGTTCTTGGGTATTCTATTTTAATCATTAAGTGTACTTCTCATACATGATCACTGTATGCATGTTTGGTGGGCTCATTCATTTAGTTTTTTTTTTAGGGGGTGGGAGGGATTTTGCTTTCTTTACCGAAAAAATCCTCACCCAACACCCTAAAGATTTATCCGTGTTCTCTTAGCTATAAATGCTGTAAAAAAGAAGACCCTCTCCTCCCCCTTTGAATTTAGATAACAAAACTACATTAAAGTTCTACATTTCCTTAATCTAGAAATAAAACCTTTATCCCTTTTGTCTGAATAAGAGAACTACAAGGTGTGCATACACACATACATGTACACACTGGGTAAAGGGGGCCAGAACAGACAGTACAGATTTAGGGAAAAGAGGCTGCTGACCTCCAAGAGGACTGCAAGTAGGCATAATGCCTGACATTTTTTTTTTCAACAAGTCGGCCGTCTCCCACCGAGGCAGGGTAACCCAAAAAAGAAAGAAAATCCCCAAAAAGAAAATACTTTCATCATCATTCAACACTTTCACCACACTCACACATTATCACTGTTTTTGCAGAGGTGCTCAGAATACAACAGTTTAGAAGCATATACATATAAAGATACACAACATATCCCCCCAAACTGCCAGTCTCAAATCAACCAAATAAGCTTTGCAGCCAATGCTTCCCTGGCAAATATGACAATGGTTTCCAGGAATCTCAAGTCATTTGCATACTTTTTACAAAATGTCAGGCTCATCAGTACCAGTAAGGAGCCCACACCTGAGGAAGTTAAGAAAATGGAGAAAGTTCATAAGTATCCAATGAAGTTAGCTCCAGAGTGAAGGGGAGTGAGCTATGAGGAAAGGCTAAGGGAACTGAATCTAACAACCCTGGAGGACAAAAGAACCAGGGAAGAGAACATACAAAATACTCATGAGGAATTGATAGGGAAGACAGGAATAAGCCGCTTGAGAGGCAGGGAACAGACACTTGGAGGCAGAGCTGGAAGCTTAAGACAGATGAGTTGCTGGGATGTCAGGGACGTTCTTCAGTGTCAGGGTGGTTGGGAAATGGAATGACCTTGAAGAGGTGGAGGCAGACTCCATACATAGTTTCAAGAACAGGTATAATGGCCCTTGATGCTAGGAATGAATTTGGCAAGCAAAGTCAAGACAGGGCCAGGAGCAAAACCTTGACCCTGCAACCACACATGTACATACATACAGTGTGTATATGCTAACACAAGCTTAAGGGTTGGCAAGAATATGAAGCATTATTGCAATACTGTACAGAAACAAGGTAAAGAGGAGTTATGAAGCCAAATTTTTATTTTATCACCACATTGGCCATCTCCCATATGGGTAGGATGATCCAAAAACTTATTCATGGTTGGTCACTCCAACCTGTTTTGTTAGTGTAATATTAGTCTGTAATTGGAACAAGTAAACCAGTAAGTGGAATCCTGCTTCCAAAAGACCTTTATGTTCTGCCTCCCCCCCCATCTATGGCCTCATGTATACTACCACTGTGTGGTGTGGCTGATAGGACATTTAACCCTTAAACTGTCCAAATGTAGATCTACGTTGACACGAATAGCCCTCCGACCTTGATTTTCTCCATTTGAAAGCATGTAAAATCAGACGTAGATCTATGTTCGGAGCACTACGCACGTCAACGTAGATCTACGTTTGGACAGTTTAAGGGTTAAATTAGTGAACACAAAACTTAAACATGTGGATGATGATGAAAGTGTTGAATGTTTTTTTTTTTCTTTCTTTTTGGGTTACCCTACCTTGGTGGGAAACAGCCAATGTGTTAAAAAAGAAGTTTTACCTAAATATGCATCTGAAATTAAATGCTTTACTAATAACACCCTCACAAAGGTCAACTTACCACCAAACATCTTCTGAACACTTCCAACGCCCACAGGGGATCGCATATAGATGTGACGGGCAACAGCTGCGACACGGGTGTAAAACCAGTCATCATCATATGGTGCAAGTTCCTTGAATTTGGCAGTCTAGAATAAAAAGATATTCTTCAGTATCAAGCTACTAGGAATGTGACTGAACGCATAAGGAAACAAGGATGATAGAGAATGACTCCAAACTTTAACCATGGTCAAATTTAATCTCCTGGCTAAGCGACTGTCATAATTGTACTTCTAAATGCTTTCACATTTATGGGAGGGGTAGGGGGGCTAAACCTGTAGGGGTTATACAGTGCCTGAGGGAATTGGAGGCAATCAGGTTCGATTCAAGGAAGGGAAGCACAAGTCCAATTTCTTAAATCAAAAGGATTTCATTGGCTCAGCATGCTCTCTAATATTTCAAATTCTGCAACTACTGAACATTTAATTTCTCAATAAAATAAAACTGTTTTCCTTTTAACAATATACGTTTGTTTATTCATTTAAGTCTGATTTTAAGATAATACAAAGCTTTTGTGCATGCATTCAGTATCAAATTACAGATTTATTGAGAAATTTACCAATTTGTTTGGAAACAATGTATAAAAATATTAAAATTTCAGTATGTGAAGTACTAAACCCAAATGGATCTTTCAGGGCAAGGAGGTCAATATTCTGTCCCCTCAATAAAGACTGAAGTGCAACCTAACTGTATAATTACAAGAATGCTATCGATTGTAGGTTACAACCGTGAGCTCTTCTACCCTTACAGCTTAGCTAATCCAAGTTTTGCTTATTACTATCTAGCCAGATAACAGAAGAAATAGGCAAGCTCCCTCTTGACTGATAACAGAGGTAGAGTAATATCAAATCTACTTGAGGGAGAATGGGGCTGCTGCTCGATTGTATAAGCTTTAAGCTAACGAAATTTAGAAGATTTAAAGGGAAGTAAAAATGTAAAACCAAACAGAAATATGAATGAACATAATAGAAAAACATTCAGGAAAAATTTCAAGGAAACTAGTAAAATAGTTACTTAATAGAAGTTCTTAAGTGTATAAGTGGAAGATAGGTATTAATAAAGGGTATATAAATAAGGTCTTGAGGATATCTCTCCAAGAGAGAACTCGCAGTAATGGATTTAAATTAGATAAGTTTAGATTTAGAAAGGACATAGGAAAGTATTGGTTTGGAAATAGGGTAGTTGATGAGTGGAACAGTCTACCTAATTGGGTTATTGAGGCTAGGACTTTGGGTAGTTTCAAATTTAGGTTGGATAAGTACATAAGTGGGAGGGGTTGGATTTGAGTGGGACTTGCACATCAGAGCTTATTTCTTGGGTAGCATTGAAAATTGGGTTGGGCAAATGTTTTGTTAGTGGGATGAATTGTAAAGGACCTGCCTAGTATGGGCCAACAGGCCTGCTGCAGTGTTCCTCCTTTCTTATGTTCTAAGTTAAAAGACATCATGTGAGGCCCATTCATTCACACAGCCAGTTCCAAAAATTTAACAAACCAACTAACGGTAATTACAAATAGTACAGGAAACTGATGTTAATGCAATAAGGGAGTACTATATCACACACACGGACAAGAAAAGGGGTGGCGTTTCACTGAATGCTCTAAAAAAAATGCATAAAAAATGAAGAAATAAATTGTTTACTACTACAGGAGGAAACTATAAAACCTAAATGCAAAAACAATCACTCTAGGGGATTTTAATGTTTATTAAAATGACTGGAGTACTATGATGGGAATCTGATCCCTTGCTGGTTTTTAAAATTAGTTAAGAACCAAATCAACTAGAAGGAACATGCTTGATCTGGTTCTCACAATTTAGAGTTACATATTTTTGAGATAATGATCAAACTTATATAAAACAGTTACAAGTTCTAATTCAGGATGCTTCAATGGAGACCTAATGTGCTTTAAAAGTAGAGGGGTACAGATATATCCAGAGAGGGAGACACCTTATTAAACTATATGCTGAAGAAACCCAAAAGTAAAAACTAGATACCAAATACAGCAGTCAGTTACAAGGGAAACAAAGACCAATCCAGAGGTTTCAATACATGCAGTAAGATACAGGACTAAGATGTTCAATTTGGGACAATCTTTTGAAGTCAAAATAGTCAAGATGCACACAGTTCTGTTTGTATAAAGTTCTCCCTCTTCTCCCTGAAATCCGAGACTTACCTTAACAAGATCAGCCCAGTCTGGAACCTTAACCTTGCCAGACCTGAAATTCAGGGAATTAATGAGCCTCTAAAAGTGACATACACAACTGAAAAATTCAGGTAATTAACAGATTAAAAACAATTATTTACAGAACATATACATATTCCAGAATGGTAACATATGAAAATGCAGTTTTCTGCATATGACAGCTGAACCAGTCTGCTTTTTATATACCTTCACAACTGACTAGTCTGTACAACATTGATATATACACCTCTAGTACCCCATAACACATCTAATCGATACTCTAGTTCACTCCATGTATTGCCCAATATCTGGAAGTTTTCTCATTAATGTCAGCTACTGGTATCTGAAGAGATTCCTTTACAAACCTACAAGAAGTCTAATGGCTCACACGTGGGCCTATTTGATGGGGCAATCATAGCCGACTGCTGGAAAACTGCATGTTAAGTGTACTAAAGTATGCAGAGAATTGCATTTTCATATTTTGCCATATTTTGTAATAAATTTTTGAGACTGGAAAAGTGTTCTGAACACTTTGTACAATACTTACTTTTTCAGAAATTCTGCAAAAGCCTTTGTGAAGCCTTGCTGGCTGACGTCTTTAACACTGACACTAGGCATCTTCTGGAATATATAACCCAGTTAAAAAATAATCTTGGATATTAAACATTTAAATCATGATTTGCCATTAATTACTAGTCTTATTTTTTTAAGAATGAGTGAAACATGTCAGACTTACAAAAGCATTTGTATGGTCTACTGTAGTTTGCACGAGAAATGCAAAGTGCTAAGTATTTATAATTTCCAAATCAAATGACAAAATTTCAGATTGAAGTGCTGCATGTTAGTTCTCAGTAAAGACAAAATTTAAATATAATCCAATCCATTTGCTGATAACTGTTTCCTCTCCCAAGGGTAAATTATCATTAAACACATTGTAGTGCAAAATGTACTCAACACCTTGGTAAAACTACACAAAAAATACATACCCAAAAGTTATAACATAGAAACTTGACATTAATGTAGCCAATAAATATTTTCGGGATGAAAATACACATGATAGTTCTTAAGAACAAAAATCAATTACATCAAATAAATCAATTTTTTCTTTACAGAAACAGAGCAGCAATGCAGGACAAGTATGGAAACCTATATTACCACACCATATGACTATGTTCATTAATGGTATGCAACACCGACAAGATGAAAATTAGACACATGCGCAACATCTGGGTATCTTTAATGTAGAAGTTTTGCCATCCAGTGGCTTTATCAATACAAATTCTAGAACCCAGATGTTGCATGTGTCTCTAATTTTCACCAAGCTTTATCATTTGGGGTGGGGTTGTGGGGAGGGGGGAATGCTGTCCATTCAACATGCAGACTTAGCATAAATACCCAAGCATGTTTGTTTATTTTCACCTAAGTTTGGGTAACACTCTTTCCTTGCTGGACACTGGAGAGAATGGATTAATATAGTTCACACCGTGTTGAACCTTGAGCCCAACTCCAGCCCTGATCTTGTTAAAGAACTGATATTAACGTACTGAAAAAATGTGTCAGACAAGATGGTATAAACCTTGGTAATAAATACCGACAAGTTGGTTTAGAAAGACACGTAAGCAAACACTATAACATATTTATTAGAAAACGTTTCGGTCCTGGGACCTTGATCACTTCTAACATACAGAGGTAGAAAGACATTATATATATAGGCGGAGAGTGAGATGTGACGCACGTGACCTGAGGAATGTCATAAGAACATAAGAATGGAGGAACACTGTAGAAGGCCTACTGGCCCATGCGAGGCAGGTCCTTATCAAAACAACCTCTGCCTATGATGAGGACGGGTAGACGATGAAATCATGTGACTCCTGTGTTGTTGGGTTGGTGCTGCTTAAGTATCATGTATGCCAATGTTTTTGAAATTTTGTAGTTTCCAGTGTTGCGTTCTATAGTGTCGGTGATGGCGATTAGTGAGGCTTCTAGGCACCGTCGGCGTCTGAGGTCTGGTTCGGTGAGAACGAGTTGTGCCTCGTTCCAGTTCATCAAATGCCCCATGGAGTCTCTGTGGAGGACACAGGCGTACCTTACATCGTCTCTGTTAGAGGCATTTCGATGCTCATTCAGGCGGACTGCAAGATCTCTGCCTGTCTCGCCTACATATTTCTTGGGACAGAACCCACAGGGGATAGTGTAGACGCCTGCTGTAGAAGTTAGAGGTGTGGGGCTGCGTTTCGTAGTGAGGTCTTTAATAGAGGATGTGTTTATGGTGGAAACGTTGATGTTACTCATAGCAAGTGCCCGGCAAGTATTCGTGGCAACATTGCCACATGGGAGTACTATGAACTGTTTAGGGGGCTGTTCCATGGGCGGTTTGTTGAGGATAGCTTGTGCCTTGAGTCTGCAATCTCGGATGAAGAAAGATGGGAATCTGAAGACGTGTAAAGGCTTGTGTTATGTAAGTGCATTCTTCTTCTAGAAAACAAGGGCTGGAGATGCGAAGAGCTCTCAAGAAGAAGCCAATGAGGACTCCTCTCTTAGTGCGGGTGTCTTGGTGTGAATAAAAGTGTATAAGATCGTCCTTGTTGGTAGGTTTTCTATACACTTTGAAGAGAAGTTTGTCACTGTCGGGAGATCTGCACAGTAGAATGTCGAGGAAAGGAAGTTTGGCTTCTTCTTGAGAGCTCTTCGCATCTCCAGCCCTTGTTTTCTAGAAGAAGAATGCACTTACATAACACAAGCCTTTACACGTCTTCAGTTCCCATCTTTCTTCATCCGAGATTGCAAACTCAAGGCACAAGCTATCCTCAACAAACCGCCCATGGAACAGCCCCCTAAACAGTTCATAGTACTCCCATGTGGCAATGTTGCCACGAATACTTGCCGGGCACTTGCTATGAGTAACATCAACGTTTCCACCATAAACACATCCTCTATTAAAGACCTCACTACGAAACGCAGCCCCACACCTCTAACTTCTACAGCAGGCGTCTACACTATCCCCTGTGGGTTCTGTCCCAAGAAATATGTAGGCGAGACAGGCAGAGATCTTGCAGTCCGCCTGAATGAGCATCGAAATGCCTCTAACAGAGACGATGTAAGGTACGCCTGTGTCCTCCACAGAGACTCCACGGGGCATTTGATGAACTGGAATGAGGCACAACTCGTTCTCACCGAACCAGACCTCAGACGCCGACGGTGCCTAGAAGCCTCACTAATCGCCATCACCGACACTATAGAACGCAACACTGGAAACTACAAAATTTCAAAAAACATTGGCATACATGATACTTAAGCAGCACACCACAAACAGGGTCACATGATTCATTCTACCCGTCTCATCATAGGCAGAGGTTGTTCTGATATAGGACCTGCCTTCATGGCCCATTTAGCCTTCTACAGGTTCTCCATGTTTGTTTTTAAATGACATTCCTCAGTCGGCGTCACATCTCATCTCCGCCTATATAATAATGTCTTTCTCCTCTGTATGTTTAGAAGTGACAAGGTCCCAGGACGAACGTTTTCTAATAAATATGTTATAGTGTTTGCTTACGTGTCTTTCTAAACCAACTTGTCGGTATTTATTACCACTGAAAAAATGTAAATTAGGAGAAAATTTGATCCCCGGATTAGGATTCTAATATTGTAAACTGAAGTCATGTGGTATTTATTATATTTAATCAAGGGGAACGCAACCTGGAGGATTATTACACGCTGGGGGGGGGATATGGAAGCATTCAGGCTTAATTCGGGGAATGGAGCAAGATCATTCCCTAAATCAAGAGCCCCTCACCAACATCAAGGAACCTTCCTTGAGGGGTCAGTGTGGCTCAGCTGACAGCACACTTAGCTCAGTTTTTGTGGTTAGATTCCCCAGCATGGGTGGAAATGCTAGGCATGTTTCTTTATATATGCTGTCACTGTTCACCTAGCAGTAAATATTAGCCAACTGCTGTGGGTGACGTGGAAGGTATTTAGGCTTAATTCAGGGAACTGGAGCACAGATCCAGTTCCCTAGATCAAGAGCCCCTCACCAGCATCAAGGACCCTGTCATAAATTGTCCTTTCTGTAATTTATTTTGAGAGATTAGGAGAAAATAAATATTTTGGGGCGTGCAGCACATCAGGGTTATTCAACATATATGCAAGTTTATTCATGTATACACAAACAGTTACATAGATTACCATACATGATTACCATACATAGCAGCATGTGTGTAGAGAACCTGGGATAAACCAAAAAAGTCAGTGACTTATTTCCACTGGGGTCCTTTATAGTAATGTTCCTGGTGCACTACCCATAGGCGTTAAACCCACTAGTTATAGTGTCTGGAGAATTGGAAGCATTGTGGTTCAATCGTAAACGGAGGAAATCCAATATCCTGTTTGTGACTTGAAAAAGCCCACTGTGTGGGCGAAACGTAGTCAATAAAGGATCACATTATACTGCATATGTGTTTATATTTCCACTGTGTCGGTATTTTATACCATTTATTTCCATATCCTGGATCAAGAGCCCTTCGGGAACAAGGACCAAATCACTGGTGGGGTAAACTACATTACGTTATTTTAGTTTGGGGTTTCCACGGAAAACCTACCTAATATTGAACATGTTTTTAAGAATTAGGGCCAACGCCACAAAGACCAGATCTCCATAATTTACCAAATAAAGATATAATGAGGTACAGGAGGAAGAATAACGTGGCCATGTGGAGGCCAGACACTACCTCTCCTCACCACCACTATCAACCATCCTCCATTACCTTCCCTACCTCATGACCTTACACCAACCCTTACTAACACGCTTATGGCTCTTAATGCTTCGAGTCTGAGGAAAATGACGTGTTTTGAGGTGGTATTGTAGCGAGAGTGTATTGTTTGACTTACGTTGAGTGTTGAGGGTGGAAGGAGAGACCTCTGGCGGCCGCTGCTGCTCCTTCACTCTCCTCAAGTGAACCTTCACATGCGCTAACTATCTTTATTTAGATACAGGTACATATAAATACAGTTATACAACTTATCATACATGGTAACATATATGTAAATTACCTAGGATAACCCCAAAAAAGTTAAAGTGACTTATTTCCATTGGGGTCCTTGACTATTTCTGCCCTAACACAATTACACAATTTTTGAATGATCACGTAAAGATATATAAATATACCTAAGATACGTGAAGATACATTAATATGTATAAAGATATAAGATAAGGATACAAGGACACCAATGGAAATAAGTCACTTTGACTTTTTCTTTAGTTATCCCAGGTAATTAACACATATGTTACTAGGTATGATAATTGTACTCATATATACCTGTACCTAAATAAACTTATTTACTTAATTAATTAATTAAAGGTAAAGATGTTTATTCCCTCAAAATACACATACGTTTTTCAGACAATTGTAATCATCCAAAACTGTGTAAAACTGTCCCTAAATTATCTTACTTATTTACTTGGATAGTTTTACAAAGTATACATTTATAGATTTGCTACAGTTTTAGCAGAACATTATATTACACATCCTAACGAAGGCTCGTTATTAGGCATAGCATTAAGGGCAGAATATAACTACTGTAATAATAATATCTTCTTGTCAATATACATAACATATGAAGCTAAAATTTTATGACTTATCATTACTTGACTTCACTGATTTATCTAGATTAACTTCTACATAATTTATTATATAAAACCACTGTAAAAGTTTCAAATTATATATGAAACCTAAATAATAACAAGAAATAAAAACATAAGAACAGTAATAAACACTGTTTTACTTATATATGTCAGGATATCTCCTCATTTCCTCGCTGCTTTTCATGTATTCACCTACATTAAGTTCATATTATATAATTTTGTATTCAATATATTGTTTGCTGGATTAATATCAATCAATCAATCAAATAATTAACCTGCCGAAGCTTCCATAAATTTTCCATAGCCCTCTGATCATAAGATAATGGTCCAAAAATTTTAATAAATTAAAAAATGTTTTCATAACGCCGCAGATAAAAATATTTTAATTTGTTTTAATTTAAGAGTGAATGTGAAGGTTCCCGCGAAATATGTCCTCCAGAGTTTGTTTACATCTTGGGAGAGAGACCAAGGAAATGTCTTTAAAACCCCAGCCTCACGTTACTACTGAGCTCTGTAATAGGAATATTAGAGGAGTCTGTGAGCATCTATAAGTATAAGTTTGTTTCTAATATGTCGCGGTGCGGAATGCTTGTTTGTAGATATATTTAGGACGGAGTGAACAAGGTTTTGTAATTGGTTTGCCGTGTTTAGGTTTTAACTTTTGGTATTAAACGCAGACTCTGTATATTAGCAAAGTATTGTGAATACAGTTAACTTTGTTCATGCATATAAAATGCCTTGAATATATTAGATTAAGGTATTAACAATACAAGAAATCACTTAACCTTCCTTTCTGAAGCTTCATGCATTTGGGACTCGTTGTATTAACCTGGTTTATACTAATACTGTACTTACTTGAGCTGTACGACCCTTACGGGTTTAGTGATTGGTTATGACCATAATCACTTGCTTGAGATGATCAGCAGCGCTGTATAGCCCTTGTGGCTTAGCGCTTCTTTTTGATTATAATAATGATAATAATAATTGAGATGATCAATCAACCCATTCCACTCCTTTATTGTTACCTAATATTTGTTTGAGACCTGGTCACCTACTGTGAGTACTACGAAATTGTTTACTTCCCTTACTACCATATTGGCTTTGGCTCCTAACCTCAATTTATTTCATATTTAAAACAGGTTTCTACTATAAAAAACTAGCAACTTAATTCCTGTATTTTTCCAACAGATCCTGGTCAGAGATATAGAGCTTCGAAGAGTTTATTTGCTTGGAGTTTCAAGTGTTACCGTGATGATGAATATGAAGGCATTGCTGTAGAACTTCAAGAAAACAGTCCGCAGTCTGGAGTGGAGCCACCAATATATGCATGCAAATTTGGAGAGGGAACTACCTATGGTCACATACTTGTATTAGCAAATGAGGATGGCCAAATAGGACTGCGAGACACACGATTATCTGGCAATGTTTCCCCAGTGGAAGGTATAATAGAAAGTGAAAATATGTAATTTGGTGTTATGAAAAAAAGATAATGCTAATAAACATACCCAGTTATTTATATTGCATTGAATCTGCAGACCTTTAGATAAGAATGTATTTTAATATCATTATCACATTAATAAGATTGTTCACAGAATGTATTTGAATAAATTTCAAAGGGTCTCTCAAGTATTGAAGAGTTATTGCTATTCAGTAGTCATTTTACTTATTATTGGTTGGGTAAGTCATGGCAGTCTTGCTCTAAAGAAATTAATTTTTATATTTGTTTATGTCCATTGCATCATTTACTATCATCTTATAGGCTGAGCTGTACAAACATCTCAGCGTCTTTCAAATGTTATGAACTGTATACGTACTACCCTCCATCATGGAACACTCTTTCATCCACATGCTTTCTATTTTTACCCTTATACGTATCTAGTTCTCCTAATTTTTCTTATTCATATATGCTCTTTTTTCTCATCCTGTTAAATTTGGCCTAGTAGTGTGAAATTTAGTAGAGTTTGGGCTTACGAGTGTCTCTTATTGTTATAGTGTATTGTTCCAGTCACAGTATTGTGCCTTTTTATTCTTTACAGTATTTCCTGTAGTTGTAGTTTTCTCATCTCTGTATTTGCTCTTATTTTTTAATGTTTCAGGTCAGCAGATCCATAACAATGCCATCTTTGATGTATGTTGGGTGCCCGGGTCATCGGAGCTTGTGTCAGTGTCTGGCGATCAGAGAGCAGCTATTTTGACACTACGAGAGGATGGCACCCTAGTTTTGACTCTGTCACTGTTGGGCCATACTAGATCTGTTAAAACTGTTCATGTCAATCCATTTGATCCTTGTAAGCACCTCTTTTTTATCATGTTTTTGAAGCAGAATAATTTGAAGCAATTAAGGTATTGCATGTTCACTGTAAATTTCAAATATTTTCTGTAAATTCATTCATTACTGTACAGTATCATTATTCAAATGTGTACAAATTCCATAGCATCAGTATTTTTAGAAATTGCATCTTTTCTCATTCATATCGCTTTTGACACATTCTTCTCATAAATTTTTATCCACATTCTCTCATTTCAATCTTTATTGTTTGAAAACTTTGTCTCATTTATGGATTTAGAAAGAGTACATGATAGGGTGGGTAAGGAAACAATGTGGCAGATGTTGCAGACATGTGGAATATATAGCAGATTATGTTGTATTGAGGTATTTAGGGCTGATTCCAGAAAGTGGTGGATAAGGTCAGTTCCTTGTATCAGTGCTCCTCACCAGCATCAAGGTAAGTAGTGGGTTACTAAAAGCAGTAGTTTTTATATAGAAGGGAAGCTTAGGTTTGGGTTTGTAGGCAAGAATAGGACTATTTTTCCCAGGGATTTATGTCACCATAGTTACCTTTAAGATAAATATAAGGTAGATTTGCATGTTTAACATTGTAGAGTTTTTTTTTGAGCTTAACTGCACCTACTTTACCTTTTCTTCTGCCTCAGGTGTGATAGCAACAGGAGCCCGAGATGGCAGTGTAATTATATGGGACAAGCGCTGTAAGCCACACCACAAAGCTGATGAAATAGCTCCAGCCCACTCCAGTCTTGGCAAGTTCTGTAGTGGATTTTATCCTTGGAGGAGTCTGGCAAATCTTGAAAATTAAACTTGCAGAGATGCTTATATTAGGTTTTCCATTAATCTTTTTTCTTGTCTATTCTGTTTGTCATGTGCTCCATCTAAATTTATTAATTGCTGCAAATTCTTTCTTTCTTCTTCTTATTATTAAAGTTCAGATTCTAGAAATGTTTAAATCCTTATTGAAGACATTTACCTGAAGAGCAATAAACACCTTTAGTTTAAATGGTTTAATGTGCATACAAGGATTGACTCATTTAGGAAAAAAATGTTGACTTATCTTTGTGGTTAATGAAGAGGTTGATCTGTCAAAGTGCTAACTAAAAACACATTTTCACTTTTTGTCAGGCTGTAATTAATTGACTGAATATTTGTAACCATACTAGGTAGTAGGTTGGTAGACAGCAACCACCCAGGGAGGTACTACCGTCCTGCCAAGCGAGTGTGAAACGAAAGCCTGTAATTGTTTTACATGATGGTAGGATTGCTGGTGTCCATTTTTCTGTCTCATAAACATGCAAGGTTTCTGGTACATCTTGCTACTTCTACTTACACTTAGGTCACACTACACATAAATGTACAAGCATATATATACACACCCCTCTGGGTTTTCTTCTATTTTCTTACTAGTTCTTGTTCTTGTTTATTTTCTCTTACCTCCATGGGGAAGTGGAAAAGAATTTTTCCTCCGTAAGCCATGCGTGTTGTAGGAGGCAACTAAAATGCCAGGAGCAAGGGGCTAGTAACCTCTTCTCCTGTATATATTACTAAATGTAAAAGGAGAAACTTTCGTTTTTCCTTTTGGGCCACCCCCGCCTTGGTGGGATACGGCAGGTGTGTTGAAAGAAAGAAGCCATGCGTGTTGTAAGAGGCGACTAAAATGCTGGGAGCAAGGGGCTAGTAACCCCTTCTCCTGTATATATTACTAAATGTAAAAGGAGAAACTTTCGTTTTTCTTTTTGGGCCACCCTGCCTTGGTGGGATACGGCCGGTTTGTTGAAAAAAAAAAATTGTAACCTGTTACGACTTAATCTTCACCGTAACAATAGGGGCACAAATAACTCCAATTTTTTGTTAGTTTTATTTTATTACCAATCGTTTAGCTTCATTGGTATTTGGTTAGTGAATTAAAATAACCACAAGCAATTATAAATGAAATACTATACAGCAAGGAACCCAATCTTACATTCAAATTCTCATTAACAGAGTATGATACAATAATTTCAATTAATAATCTACTAATCTCACCATTTAACTCTTTTAGAAAGGTCTAGGGTAACGAAATAGTTATCTTTCATAAGTGACATGAATTACCAGACTTCAGGTAACTAATGGCAAAGGCAAGACTTGGTATAAAGTTTTAGTTTAAGCTAGGAGCTTTGGGTTGAAGACCTGTACCGAGTCAGAGCTAGGAGCTGACTGACTCACTCAACTACTCCATAGTATGACTTCAGCTCTGCCAGAAGGCGACGCGTGGCGTCAATTCTAGAACCACCAATTGGTCACTACAGTAGTGGTTACACATTCGTAATACCTAACTATAATAATAATATAATACAATATAATACAATGAGAGTACTTTTGATGATTCATACTGTACCCGATAATAATATATAGTCGAACCTGCTTTATCTAGCTAGTAATAAAGTGGTTCGCGATATATTATTACAGAACTTATTTTAACCAGGCCTTTTATTTTGTATATAATGGAGTGAAGTAGGGGCGCATAACATAACCATATCTGGAAGAGGGTTTTTCAGCATAATCATATTGTATTATTGTTATTTGTTATCTATTTTATAGTACTAATAAGTTATGCACACTGACTTACTGATGTGTACTATCTCTGCAGCACCCAGAAGCTTAGCGTCACCTAGTGTTCGTAAAGTTGCTACAAGCAGTTCTGCAGTGAATAACAGTGTGACGGGTGTTGTATTCCAGCAGCAGCATATTGTTATCTCAGCTGGAGCATCAGATGGGTGAGTACTGGAAATAGCATAGGTAAAAAAGGCAGAGATGTTTATTATGGCTCTGATTAGGTTATGCAAAGTACAGTACTGTTCTAGCATTTTGGTTGAGAGTTTATCCTGTGGAATAAATGGAGTAATGAGTTATCCACAGGCAAGGATTGGTGCCCTTTTTAAAGATTGCAGGTGATGAGGTAAGGGAGGAGCAAGGATGATGCAGTTTGGAGGGTCATCTGAGCTGTGATAACAGCACACTACTAGTGAGACAGCTATTGAATGAATGATGGTGAATGTGTTTCCTTTTGGGGGGGAGGGGGAGAGGGTCGCCTTAATTCGGTAGGATGTAGCCTTTAAAATAATTTTTTTTTTTTTTACAGACTCATTAAACTGTGGGACCTCCGCAAGACCCATGGCGGTGGAAAACGTGATCCCCAATGCCAAAACACACTGGTGCACAGTGGCCGTTCTTCACATAGAGGCTTTACCTCCTTATCTGTTTCACCTGCTCGAGATGTTTTATACACATCTTGCATGGACAATGCAATTTATGCCTATCATCTTACAAATCCTACTCCTAAACCAGGTATGTCTTATTAAAATATGTAGATTAGCTTTATAGTGTACAGTAATTGCTTTTACTTTTTACATGCAGAAGTTTGTTGTATATTGATGTGCTACATCGTGGTATAATACAGTGGACCCCCACATAACGCTATTAATCCGTTCCTGAGAGCTCAGTGTTATGTGAAATTATCGTTATGCGAATTAATTTTCCCCTTAAGAAATAATGGAAATCAAATTAATCTGTGCAAGACATCCAAAAGTATGAAAAAAAAAATTTTTACCACATGAAATATTAATTTTAATACACACACACTTAAGAAAACATGCACAGTTACATGACACTTACCTTTATTGAAGATGTGGTGATGATTGATGGGGAGGGGAGACTGGATGGTTTTAGTGTTTAGAAGGGGAATCCCCTTCCATTAAGACTTGAGGTGTCAAGTCCTTTTCCGGGGTTGCTTCCCTTCTTCTTTTAATGCCACTAGGACCAGCTTCAGAGTCACTGGACTTCTGTCGCACAACATATCTGTCCACGGCTTGCAATAGCTGTCTGAGGGTGATTTTCATCCATGAAGGTTTGCACTTCAAGCCACTTTGCACAGATTTCCTTAATCTTTGAAGTAGGCAACTTCTTCAATTTCTCTCTCCCCTCCTCCGAAGCAATTTCCTCAGGTGTGACCTCTTGCTGTTGAAGTTGATCTAGCAGCTCATCAGTGGTTAGTTCTTCATTGTCCTCCTCCACCAACTCTTCCACATCCTCCCCACTAACCTCCAACCCCAAGGACTTCCCCAATGCCACAACTGATTCCTCAACTGGCATAGGTTTCTCAGGGTTAGCCTCAAATCCTTCAGAATCCCTTTGGTCTACACATTCTGGCCACAGTTTCTTCCAAGCAGAGTTCAAGGTCCTCTTAGTCACTCCCTCCCAAGCCTTACCTATAAGGTTTACACAATTGAGGATATTAAACTGCTCTCTCTAAAACTCTCTTAGAGTCAATTGAGTTTCTGAGGTCACTACAAAGCACCTTTCAAACAGAGCTTTTGTGTACAGTTTTTTGAAGTTTGCAATAACCTGGTGGTCCATGGGCTGCAGGAGAGGAGTGGTATTAGGAAGCAAAAACTTCACCTTAATGAAGCTCATGTCCCCACAAAGTCGCTCTGCCACGTCTGTAGGATGACCAGGGGCATTGTCTAACACCAGGAGGCACTTAAGGTCTAATTTCTTTTCAGTTGGGTAATTTTTCACAGTGGGGGCAAATGCTTGGTGTAACCAGTCATAGAAAAAGTCCCTAGTGACCCATGCCTTATTGTTTGCCCTCCACAGCACACACAAATTAGCCTTGAGGATATTCTTTTGCCTGAACGGGAGTTTCAGAGTGATACTAATAAAGGCTTCACCACTAGCATTCACCCGGCACACATGAGAAGAGTAAGCCTGTCTTTCATAGGCTTATGTCCTGGGAGTGCCTTTTCCTCCTGAGTAATGTAGGTCCTGCTTGGCATTTTCTTCCAAAACAGGCCTGTTTCGTCACAATTAAACACTTGTTCAGGTTTCAGTCCTTCACTGTCTATGTACTCCTTGAATTCATGCACATATTTTTCAGCTGCTTTTTGGTCCGAACTGGCAGACTCACCATGCCTTATCACACTTTGTATGCCACTATGCCTCTTAAATCTCTCAAACCAACCTTTGCTGGCCTTAAATTCACTCGCATTACCACTAGTTGCAGGCATTTTTCTAATTAAATCCTCATGCAACTTCCTAGCCTTTTCACTTATGATTGCTTGAGAAATGCTATCGCCTGCTATCTGCTTTTCGTTTATCCACACCAATAACAGTCTCTCAACATCGTCTATCACTTGCGATCTCTGTTTCGAAAGCACAGTTAAACCTTTGGCAAGAACAGCTTCCTTGATTGCCATTCTCTTGGACAATGATCTCTTTCTTCATCTCCATAGTAATTCTCACCCTTATTTCTGTAGGGTTGGCACTAGAAGCTTTCTTGGGGCCCGTGGTCACTTATTTTTCAGGTGAAATCACTATAAAAAGGCTGTAATAATACGAAATGTTCCAATTGTATGCTTGAATGTTACCACGGAGGCTGGCTTGTAAACAATGCCACTGGCAGAACAAGTGAGGCTGGCTCAGGCTGCGTGGACGTGTCTCGGACAAATCGCGTTGAGCGAATTTTTTAGCATTATGCGAGGCAAAATTTTAGCGATAAAATGTATCGCTATGCGGATTTAACACTATGCGATGCCAACGTTATGCGGGGGTTCACTGTATTGGTAGAACTTAAACTTTATATACTGTGGCATTAAAGATGTAGTAATATATGTATGTACTGTAATTTTAATTTAAGGTGTGGCAATTATTGAGACGTGGTGGCAAAGTGGCATTAAAGGCATAAGCCAATGCCAAGAGAATGATAATCTTTCAAGTAGAAAGCAAAGAGGATTTACTGAAGTAAATTTCGGGTGGGGGATCGGTTAGAGCAATCAGTATCCTGGTAAGCTAAAAAGTAAAAGAGTACATTCAAAAAAGGTGCAATGAGGGGAAATAGCTGAACCAAGTAGATCATGTTTAGTTCGAATTTTCTCAAGATTGTCAGGCATCATTCCCTAGAGGAAATACCAGGAGTAACAAGGCATGAGAGAGAGAAACAGGAACACAGAGTTTTGTACTGGTACAGTATGACTTTTTTAGTGTGTTTAATAATAAAATGTATGACCTGGACCAACAAATCCTATTAATGATGAACTTTGTAATTAATAATGAAATTCTTGTTCACAGTTGCTGAATATACAGGTCATGTGAATCTGACCTATTTTGTGAAGTCTTGTATCAGCCCATGTGGCTCATATCTCTAAGTGGCTCCAGTGACAAATGTGCATATATATGGTTGACTGACTGTCCAGGACAGCCTATAGCAAGACTTGGAGGACACTTTGCAGAAGTTACCTCTGTTGGTTGGTGCCCTGTTGATGATGAAAAGGTAATTATCTATTTGCAATCATGCATGACTGCTGCTGCCTCCCATCAGTGGTTTATATGGCAGATCAGTTGCTATGGAGCTGCAACCCACTTCCTGACAGTAGTAATGCCACTAGCAGTTTGGCCACCTTTCAAAGATCTGCTGATAGAATTCTGAATACCTTATCCGTAGCTCTACAACCCTTGGTGGTTCCTGTAAGTGATCACTTTGCAGCCTCAGTTGTGTAGTTGATCATCCCTCATTTCCATAAAGGTTCTGCTTAGAGGAATGTGAGGTTTGCTGTGCAAGAGAGGAAAGATGTACTATATGATCGAGCACTAGCTCATCTCTGACAAGAATACTGTCTTCCTTCTGCCCTATCACCCAACATGACACATTATTTCGACTTTCAGTGGCACGCTCTGATTTCTTTATCCCTGTTTCCAGGTACAGTACAGTCAAACCTAAATTCATAGGGGTTTGGGTTCTAATGGCTATATTTTGCTATATTGCTATAATGCTATATTTTGCCCTTTTAGAGCAATTTTGGTTGAGACTTGGAATCATTTTGTGTTTCTCAAGTCATAACCTTAAATATTGGTTTAATTTCATTGATACTGACATTTAGGAACTTGACATCTTTGATATGCTTTCTTTGTTACATCCTGCCTTCGTCTGCCTGTCCTTCCCAGAGCTCTGCCTGTTATGATTGTGACGCACATGACATGACAACAGCATCCCTTACTCGCCACTGCCTTAAACATTATATTAGTTTAAAGGGATATTTAATGCAATGTTGGTTAAATATTAACCCTCAAACTGTCCAAACATAGATATACGTTGACGTGCAGCAGGCTCCGAACGTAGATCTACTTTTTTTTTTTTTACATGCTTTCAAATGGGGAAAATCAAGGTTGGAGTGCTACACACGTGAACGTAGATCTACGTTTGGACAGTTTAAGGGTTAAGTGGTGACTGCATGTGAGTGAAAACACAGCAGCCACTGTTCAATAGCATAAAATGAATGTTTACCATATATGTATAGCTAATTCCTGGTAGAGATAAAGTTGCCCCATATAAGTGAAATTACACATGGTGCATCTGCATAAAGTGAGGGGAAAACCTATATATCAGCTCACATTCCAGTGACTGTGAAACCCCTTGCATCCAGGGGTACAACCTGTAAGACAGAAATTTGCATTGATCTTTTTCATGTAGAAGAGTGTTAGTGAAAAATATTTTCCAAGAAATTGCAGTGGTGTCAGATTAAATTTTAGATGAAGGAGTATTTAAAAGTATGATTAAAAGACTAAGTGAATTGTGGAAAAAAGTGCTTTGGAGTTTCGAGACATTTCTCACAGAGATGGCACTGATAATGAAATATTTCAAAACAAAATAGCTTGAACATTAAAATGGTATAAAATAGACATATTTATACCATTTTAATGTATTGTATGCAACACAAGGTTTGTAAGACACAATATGCACACAGTGAAGGGGTATTTGAAGGACTGACATTAACATTGAGTTCTTATTCCAGGTATTACCAAAAATACGTCATTCATATGATTTCATACATACATGCATTTTCCAGAACTAGGATAACCCAAAAAAGGTCGACGAGTGACTTATTTCCATGGGTCCTTAGTATCTTCTCTTTATATTTTGTAATTATGAAGAGTTATAATAATTTTCTATTCCTTTAACCCTTCTCCAAGCTTTACCTAGCAACCTTACCGACTTCTTCCATTACAGAGATAACACTCTTGAAGATTCATTCTGGTTTCGCTTCCTTCTCTTCTTAGGTGGTTCGGACATGAGAGGAAATGGATGCGAAAAACTAGAAAATGACTTCAGACATTAGATTATTCGTCTGTATGTGGAAGAGAAGGCTGGGGTATGGGTTCGTGCCTAGGAAAGGTTTGAGGAGGGGTAAAGGAGATTTTGTGTTGCGAGGGCTTGGACTTCCAGCAGTATGCATGAGCGTGTTTGATAGGAGTGAATGGAGACAAATGGTTTTTAATACTTGACGTGCTGTTGGAGTGTGAGCAAAGTAACATTTATGAAGGGGTTCAGGGAAACCGGCAGGCCGGACTTGAGTCCTGGAGATGGGAAGTACAGTGCCTGCACTCTGAAGGAGGGGTGTTAATGTTGCAGTTTAAAAACTGTAGTGTAAAGCACCCTTCTGGCAAGACAGTGATGGAGTGAATGATGGTGAAAGTTTTTCTTTTTTGGGCCACCCTGCCTTGGTGGGAATCGGCCAGTGTGATAATAAAAAAAAAAAATTTCTTATTATTCTACAATGAAGATAACATCTTATTATCATACTAAAGAGACTATCTACTACACGAAGGTATTAAGATATTACAATGCGAGGGTCATTACTAGGAATACGGTAAAATTTACACGTATGTTAGCTAAAAAATAGAAAATCATTCCCCTCCCTTTCTGTAGCTACATTTCTCAGACACTTTTTGGCAGTATTTTGAAACTTCATGCTATGAATGTTTGACATGTGCAGGCAGTCTGTTCCATTCCTTTATTGCTGTACAAATAAAAGGGTTCTTGTACGCCCACTGTGGGTACTACAAGTTGTGTCTCGGGCTGATTTGATTGGCGTTCCCAACCTTACAAAATTACAGATGATATCTGGACCTTTGTGAGCAATTTTAAAAACATGATTAGCTTCAGTTTTATCTGTCTTCAACATAAAATTTCCCAGCTGGATCACCTCAACATTTATCTGGTCCAGCCCGGATACATGCTTATATTTTGTTCTCGTGTTTGCGTCTATGACTATAAAGTTTTTTGTAGGCAACGTTACAAAAAGCAAGCGTAATATGGCATTGTATAAGGCTAGACAATAGGGTTTCGAGCCATTTTAGTGTCAGCTGTGCTTGCTATACATGGAACTTCAGTCTGGCATTGCTTTCCTTACCACTGTTCCCTATCAATTCTCCTGACATGCATGGTAAAGGGGATTCCCAAATATTTTACTGATGAAACCAAAGTGATGGGCTCCCCATTACATTGAACATTAAAATTATTTACCCTTCTCAGTTTTGTTTCGTGCCAAAGAGAATGGCTTCAGTTTTCCCTACGTGTAATGATAGTTTGTTGTCTACTAACCATTTGCTGCAGGACTCCAGTTCCAGTGTTAAAACATTAGCAATATCTTGTGGGTCTTTACCTGACACTAACAGAGCACTGTCATCTGCATACAGTAGGAGTTTGCACTTGACACTGATTTATTTCGAAACGTTTCGCCTACACAGTAGGCTTCTTAGTCGAGTACAGAAAAGTTGATAGAAGCAGAAGAGACTTGAAGACGATGTAATCAGTCCATCACCCTTAAAGTTTTGAGGTGGTCAGTCCCTCAGTCTGGAGAAGAGCATTGTTCCATAGTCTGAAACAATATGGAGTTGAAGTGACAGGATGGAGCCTTATATAGCGCCAGGAGGTGAGACGTAGGTCACAAGTAGAACGCGCTATATAAGGCTCCATCCTGTCACTTCAACTCCATATTGTTTCAGACTATGGAACAATGCTCTTCTCCAGACTGAGGGACTGACCACCTCAAAACTTTAAGGGTGATGGACTGATTACATCGTCTTCAAGTCTCTTCTGCTTCTATCAACTTTTCTGTACTCGACTGAAGAAGCCTACTGTGTAGGCGAAACGTTTTGAAATAAAGATACCTAACTGTTGCATATGTATCTTACCTAACAACAAAATAGCTGTTTACTATTAATATTTTTCTGTTTTTCAGTTGGTAACTTGTGCAGATGACATGAAGCTCCGCATCTTTCGGAGAAGAAATGTCAACTTGGATGACTTTGATGAGAAAATAAATATTCGTGGAATGTCAAAGCCATATGTCGCAGAACTCGCTGCTGAGAAGGAATTTAATAGTAAGATTGAAGTTTCTTTAGGAAATAGAAATAGAATGGTTACTGAATCTCATGATCTATTATCTTCTCTTCATTTAACTCCAAGTACATCAAAAACAAGGGCCTCTCTTGCTGCAACACCTTCAAGTACAAGGGAAAGAGAAGGGCAGTGCAGTTCAAATTCCCCTGAAACTTTTCCCCAAACACCTCGACAACAAACTCCACGACACAAACAGGGAACTAGGGGCAAAGTCACACCTTGTACACCCAAGACAAGTGATAGGAATACACTACTAAATTGGCTAGCATCGGCTAAAACTCCAGGTTCTCGAGATTCTCCAAGTACTTCTGGGGTAACGGTCATAAGTGACAGCAAAAAGGCTAGCCTTAAACGTAAACTTACTGATCTCATTGGTGAGGATCAGGAAAATTTTAAAAATGAGGTTAAGCCAAGGTCCCCTAATTCTCCTAAAAATATTTTAGGTATATCAACTTCTGTGAACAGTTCATTATCCCCTCAGTCCAGCGTTGCCAAGATGCTCAAATATGGAGATGATTCAGGATGTAGTGTTTTCAGAAAGTGTCGAGAAAAAGATGAAGGAACCTTGGAAATGGCTGATAGTGTAAAGCCTATTGAGGTGCAAGATAAAGTAGCACTTGGAGTTGGCTTCAGAAAGCCTGTTACAAATGTAGCTTCCAAACATGTGGAGAAGAATGAACATTTCACCAAGGAGAATATACAGAAGGATGATACAGTTGCACAGTTACCAGAGCCTCGTATCAGAATGCAGAGCGTTTCCTGCTCAACATCATTCCAATTTGGAAACCTCTCCTCTCCAACTGCAAACTTGCCAAATTACATCATAGATGGACTATCTCCACACAACCGCCGTGAAGCCAGAGTGGAGAAAAAGCGTAACACTGACTGGCTTACATCATTCAGTCATCAGAAGAAACTGAAATTCACAAGAACCCCAGACAAAGTCATAAAAAAGGTAGTAACTTTAAGGTCGTCATATCTGCAAAAACAAAAAGAGAGAAAAGTACTCAAGATAAAACAGAAGAAATGCTCTGCACCATAGCAGAGACACCATTTTGGAATTAATATTTAGGCATATATTATATACCAAAGGTTGAGTCATTGTATTTCTTGTCTTACTCTGTCTTAGTCACTCGAGAGTAATTGGTATCTTTAATTTGCAGACTGACATTTTTACAATTTCATTGTACCACTGTATAAATTTAGCTTTTACTTCTTTCAAATGGTACCTGAGTAGTTAGTTAAGTACATATATTATGCTCAATAAGTGCAAGAGATCATTATATTAATTATTAGAGGTTTGTGTGAATTACCATTTCAAACTACTTTTAAGACGATTCACAAAAAATGCGCAATTAGGAGAGTAACCTTAGAACAATGATTTGATCCATCCTGGACCATCCTTGTCATAATTGAGGCGAGAATGGTAGGGGACAAATGGAAGGGAGTGGTAGTACTTGGAGTAGTAGTGGTAGTAATGGTGGTGGTCCAGGACAAACCAAAACTTCATCACGTGGTTCCTCTCCTGATTGTATGTTTTAGGTGGATTGTTCTAGTCACGATATTGTGACTTTATTCTTTAAGCTATTATTATTAATATAATCAAGTTCAGCAGTAAACCCAAAAATGTCGTAACAGGACTTTTAAGACATCTGTTATCATAAATGTCTTGGTGTGTGACATTGTATCTCTTTTGGTACCATAATTTTACTGAATGTTACTCTAATTTGGGTTTTTAACTTCTGATTACCTCCCAATCTCTAAGTGGTATATGATCCTAACCAATTTAGTGCTTCCTCATGAGTATTATGATATTCAGTGCTTTTAACATAAAATGTTGTTAACATTATTAATTCTGTCATTGTTTCCAGTTTTCTTAATTTAGTACCATAAATATAATTTTTCTTCTATTGTGACTGTTTTTACAGATATAATCACAAGATATAGTATAAAAAAAATTTTAGGTCCATTGTGGTCTTAGTCGAGCACTTCATTCATATGGTAAAATAACCCAGTATCCGGGGAAATAAGCCACCTTTAATGAGGATTCTCTCTTACTGTGATTTGCTTCTTTTGCCTTGTACTCATCCTCTACACACCATTCCTTCTGTTGGCAGCTTCCACTTTACTGAGCAGTGTTGGATAACATGGGTTAGGTATACAAAAATCTTTTCAGATTTGTTTTTAAACCAGGGCAGAGCAAATTTTCTAGAAATGAGACTTGACATTTTTAAATATATCTAGCACTTAATGGTCCACATGAGTTTAGTGCTCTGTCACTATAATAGTACTGTTACAATAGTTTAATATTGTAACTCATTTCCTTCCAACCCTGAATTTAATTTACCCATCCAGCTCTTTCAAGGATAGATGTCCTGATGCCCATCAAGGGCTCTTCATTCAGGGACTTAGAACTACCCTGTACTTCCTTGGATCAAACCTGATTGCTTCCCATTTTGACTTCCTCAGGTGAACCCAATGGGTTTAGCACTTTCCTATAAATATAATAAAAAAAATGGTAACAACACGTATCTACTCCAGAAATAATGTTTTATATTGACACTGGAAAGTACTGTTCATAGTGACCCATACAAGTTTAATGCTTAAAATTATTCTTCCAATTACAGTATTATTATTATTGAATAAGCCTAAAACCTTCAAGGAGAAGGGGTGCCTTGATGCTAGTGAAAGGTTTTTGATCATAAGAATTTAAAGATATCCTCTTCTTCCTTGGATCACACCTACTAAGCCTGCACTCGACTCATTCCCTAAGTGTTGTATGACTATTACAGATTAAACACTGAAGAATTATTATTGTACTGGCAATCTAAAATTGGCTTAGACTGAATCAGTTTTTGACAGTCAAATTTTTATATTTTTACCTTGTAATGCATATATCTTGCATAACATTATTTTCTGCTTTGACAAAGGTTACATATGAAAGGTCCCCTCATGGAAGGTTCCTTGATGTTGGTGAGGGGCTCTTGATTTAGGGAATTGGATCTGTGCTCCAGTTCCCCGAATTAAGCCTGAATGCCTTCCACATCCCCCCCTCCCCTGGGCGCTGTATAATCCTATGGGTTTAGCGCTTCCCCCTTGATTATAATAATAATAATAATAATACATATGAAAGGTGTCTACACAAGTCTTTTAACAATCCTGGATTATGAAAACTACAATATTAGGGATGAAATGTGATTTTGAGAAGTCAAAATAAAACAAGTCATTCTAAGCAAATAATTTATGTAAATCATGCTGATTAACAAATTAGAAAATCAGGACAGTATTACAATAGAGCATATATGTTTAAATCTTGCTGCTGCTGTCATCCACATCACTGTCTGCTTCATTTGTTGTAGTCTCAGGTTCTCAAAATGAATTTCAAGCAATCCAGGCCTTTGATTCCTTGCATACACTCGTCCTTCACATTTGACAGTAGCTGCATTACATCTTCAGAACACACAAAAGGGTCCTCTCTTTCCTAGAGGCCATTTTAGTGTTTGAGCACATTCTGCTGTTTGGGCCTTTCCAATCTCTTGCAGGCAGATGCTTTTTTTTTTTTTCAGACTTTTTCCAATAATAGCCCTGCACTGCCATGATCATTGGCTTTCGTTAGTGACCAACGAGTTTTTTAATCAAACTGCATTTAGGGCTTTAACCAGGATGGCTAGAAACACATTATTACTGCTGGCTGTATATAACTATACATGTACTTTCATTTCTGCATGTTGGGCACCAAATTCCCAAATTCACACATATGATTACCTCAGATAAAAGCACCCAGTGCCACTGCAAGAAATGCCAAGTTGTGATGAGGGTCCAAGGACTTTTGACAACTTGCTCCAAGCAGAGGGCACATACAAGCATAGTTTAATCATAGACACTATGTGACTGATTCCTTTTAAAACACTGGAGACATAATCTTTGCCTATTAGCCCTTAAACTGTCCAAGCAGATCTACGTTCACATGCGTAGGGCTCCAAAAGTAGATCTACATTTTTTTTACATATTTTCAAACGACAAAAAAAAATAGATCAAAGTTTTTTACACGTTTTCATATGTAAAAAAAAAAATTACTTTTTTTTACATACTACTTTCAAATGTTGAAAAAGTGTAGATCTACGTTTGGACAGTTTAAAGGTTAAATTTTTGGCAGCTTGGACTGTATTGCTAAATATTTAACTGCGTATGAGCTTGATCGGGAATGTCTCCACAACTAGATGATCATTGTCAAAGATTATCACTATGTTCAGCTCAAATTCTGTAAAAGAAAAATGGATAGGAAATATAATTGTACAGCATTTTATTTTTTTTTTTTTGGTATAGTAATACATTGTTGTTTTCCACAAATGCACGATGACCCGAAGAAAGAATTAATCTTCACTTGCTCGTCCTAAAAGTATTCTCTTACTTGGCTCAACCTTTCCTAAGCATTCAGAATCTCTCCTTAACACGCTTATCAATTCCAAATGCATAAACACTGACTATAATCCTCTAAACTATAAAAATAAACTAAGTTAAACATTTATAACATTTCTTTTCATTTAATTTTTCCATTCAAAATTTCCTTCCACTCTTACCTTTCATTTCTTTTAATGCCTCCCCAACTTTAACTTTGTTTTATTCATTGCTGCTGTATGACCCTTGCGGGTTTAGTGCTTAGTTTTGATTGTATTATTATTATTGTTCATATTCACTCACTGCTAAGAGATGTCTTCCTTTCATTCATAACATTAATAAGTTTTTAACATTAGTACTACATATATGCATATTCAATAAACTTAACTCCTAAATTTCAATTTCTTTTTTCTTTTTTGGTAAATGCGTAGGCAAATGGGGCAACGAACCTTTTGTTTCAGGTATATTTTAGCCTCCTTATAGAACACACATGGCTACAGGAAAATGATTCTAACCCCTTTTTCCTAGGGCATTTACTGTACAGTACTTTGATGTTCTGGGTTCCTATAGGTGATCATGGCTTAATGAGTAAATGTATACTTACCAATTTTAAAGCTTGGAGCTACAGTAGTGGCGCAGGTGAACAAACGAGGGAATACCATATAAATAGGAATAGCAATGCCTCTACATACATCACCCTCTCCAATCTGTATGTTCTGAATTTCAGATGCTAGAAAAAATGTAATAGAAAAAAGAAAAGAAAATTATTTATGAATAACATAGTTTAATACCTGTATATTCCACAGTTTTTACATAAAATCCATTAATTCATATACAGGAGGGTTCCACTTTAGAGCATTTTGCTAATACAGTAGTTTTCAATTATACCCATTCTTCATTTATTCAGGTAACTTACAATAAATATATTCACCACTCACTATAAGCTAAGTATGGAAAATATTTTAAGTTGGTGGGTGGGTGTGAGTTGGACCTGACTAGCTTGTGCTGCTGGGTCTGGTGCAGTGCTCCATCCTTGAGTTTAGGTGACCAGACTGGGTGGGTCATTGGGCTAATCGGGGGGGGGGGGGGGGGGGGGGGGATGGACCTGCTCCGCATGGGTCAGTAGGCCTGTTGCAGTGTTCCTTTCTTATGTTCTTAAGTAATGTGTGTGTACTGTATATGCATTTCTTCAGGCTTAGCTCTACGCTCGCTTAATATATGATAGTGTAAACGTGTTATCAGGCTTTTATGTGCATTTGAAAGTGAAAAAAAGCTTTCACTTTACAATGGTAGCCTGGAACCTAACCTCCTGTATAAACAAGGCCCTCCTGTATTATGAATACAACACAGTATTATATCTTTTTATTGATATCTCATGCACAGAAATCTTCATTTAAAAAAATATTTTTAGACAAAAGAGAAATGTCATAACCTTTAAAAGTATATAATTACTACTTTTACTCTAGCAGAACATGAACCATTGCCATTTATTCATCAAAGTACATGTATGGTTTAATAAACATCTATAATCCTTTCAATTACTGCATATTTTTGAAATATAAGAAAGCTAGAAAAAATTGTTGAGTGTTTAGACATGGAAGAAATGCAGATCATTTAATGATACTGGAGAGGTAGAAAATTATCATAACAAAAATGTGAAGTGTATGGCTTGGGACACTTGCAGCATTTCAAGCAATACAGGAGGGCTCTGTTTGTATGGCTCTCAGGTTCCCAACTGTACACTAAGTGAAAATCGCCGGCAGGTGGAAAGGACCGTTTTTTCATTATTGAGTGCATCTAAAATGCCTGATAACATGTTTACACTATCATTTATGAAGTGCTCAATGCAGCTAGGCATGAAAAAACATGAAAGTAAAATAAATACACAGTGCATCCAATACTTACCTTAAAATGTGGTGTTGGTTGCCCTTTCCTTACCCAACTGTACAAAAACAGTGGAAAAGTGGCAAAAGCACCGAACATAATGAACAGAGACTCAACTGAAAGCCAACGAAAGCATGGAACACCGAAAAGAGGGTGCTGTATATGTGGGGGCCATGTTGTACTAAAAAGCAAATAACCTGGTATGTATTACTATACAAACAAAAGATGACATTTAATAGGTTTTGTAGGTCTGTGAGGTGACTGACCAATATCAGAGAATAATTTATCAAAAACAATTCAAGCTAATTCTAAATAATTGTTTTATTTTTTGGAAATTTAACTAACAGCATTTATCAAGAAAAAAATGATATTCTAAAACCCAAAAGTTAATTTAAGCTACCAGTAGTCTTTTTGAAACTCTTATAAGAGGGTCATTTATTTTTAAACATTGTAGATTAAGTTTGTCAGGCTGTTTTTGAGTTCATAATCTTTATTACTACTACTGCACTACTATTTTTTTTTCAACAAACCAGACAGGGTGACCTAAACAGAAAAATGAAAGTTTTTCTTTTTGGGTAACCCCTACAGGGAGAAAGGTTTACTAGCCCATTGTTCAAAGCATTTTAGTTGCCTCTTAAGAGCTTATGGAGGAAGAATTCTGTTCCACTTCCCCATGAACTACTTATGAACCACAAAAGTCAGGAACAACACAATTTAGCGTATAGATCAAAGAACTGATGAAAGGATACGACAAATAAAGTGTTAAAATAACAAAATCAGAGTTCAGTTGCCTCTGTAAAAATAAAAAAAAAAACACCCACCCTCCCTGGTGTAGCCTTCTGTAGAGCCACAGGTCTCCACCCGCACCAGCTGAAGCTCAATGCTGCTGATGCCCCTTTCACACTCGCACACTGTCAGCTTCAAGAAAAAAAAAACAAGAAAGGTGTTCATTTTCTACATTATAATTTGTTTATAAATTTTCATTGCTGATAGTATAAAAAAAATCCAGTAAATTAGTAACTGTTAGAACTTTTTTTTTCTGTCAAGGAATAAGCAATCTAATGTCAGTTATGCACTGGATTTATGAAGGATGAGGTTAATCATAGAATTGATGAAGGAAAAAAGGTGAGTGGTGCGTTGAGGTATATTTTTTTTTTTTCAGCAAGTCGGCAGTCTCCCACCAAGGCAGGGTGACCCAAAGAGAAAGAAAATCCCCAAAAAGAAAATACTTTCATCATCATTCAACACTTTCACCTCACTCATACATAATCAGTTTTTGCAGAGGTGCCCAGAATACAACAGTTTAGAAGTATATACGTATAAAAATTTCATTAAAATTTCTTGACAGTGCCTCTCCCACTCTATCATCTGCTCTCCTTTTGCACTCTCTCACCAAAAATTTTAATGAAAATAAGAAAAAATTTTGGAGTGAATTAAACAAGTTAAGAAAGCCTAGGGAAAGTATGGATTTGTCAGTTAAAAACAGAGTAGGGGAGTTAGTAGATGGGGAGATGGAGGTATTAGGTAGATGGCGAGAATATTTTGAGGAACTTTTAAATGTTAAGGAAGAAAGAGAGGCAGTAATTTCATGCACTGGTCAGGGAGGTATACAATCTTTTAGGAGTGAAGAACAGCAGAATGTAAGTGTGGGGGAGGTGCGTGAGTGAAAGGGGGTAAAGCAGCTGGAACTGATGGGATCATGACAGAAATTTTAAAAAGCAGGGGGGGATATAGGTTGGAGTGGTTGGTACTTTTGTTTAATAAATGTATGAAGAGGGGAAGGGTCCCTGGGGATTGGCAGAGAGCATGTATAGTCCCTTTATAAAAAGGGGAAAGGGGACAAAAGAGATTGTAAAATTATAGAGGAATAAGTTTACTGAGTATACCAGGAAAAGTGTATGGTAGGGTTATAATTGAAAGAATTAGAGGTAAGACAGAATTTTGGATGCGGATGAGCAAGGAGGTTTCAGAGTGGGTAGTGGATGTGTAGATCAAGTTTTTACATTGAAGCATATATGTGAACAGTATTTAGATAAAGGTTAGGGAAGTTTTTATTGCATATGGATTTAGAAAAGGCATATGTTTAGAGGGGGATAGAGGAGCAATGTGGCAGATGTTGAAAGTTAGGGAATAGGTGGTAAGTTTTTAAAAATGCTGTAAAGAGTTTTATGAGGATAGTGAGGCTCAGGTTAGGGGGGGTTGTAGAAGAGAGGGGGGACTACTTCCGGTAAAAGTAGGTCTTAGACAGGGATGTGTAATGTCACCATGGTTGTTTAATATATTTATAGATGGGGTTGTAAAGGAAGTAAATGCTAGGGTGTTCGGGAGAGGGGGTTTGGGATTAAATTTTGGGGAATCAAATTCAAAATGGGAATTGACACAGTTACTTTTTTTGTTGTTACTGTGCTTATGGGAGATTCTAAAGAAAATTGCAAAGGTTAGTGGATGAGTTTGGGAATGTGTGTAAAGGGAGAAAAGTTGAAAGTGAACATAGAAAAAAGTAAGGTGATGAGGGTATCAAATGATTTAGATAAAGAAAAATTGGATATCAAATTGGGGAGGAGGAGTATTGAAGAAATGAATGTTTTCAGATACTTGGGAGTTGTCGTGTCGGCGGATGGATTTATGAAGGATGAGGTTAATCACGAATTTATTTAGGGAAAAAAGGTGAGTGTGCGTTAGGTATATGTGGAGTCAAAAAACGTTATCTATGGAGGCAAGAAGGGAATGTATGAAAGTATAGTAGTACCCAAAGCTCTTATATGGGTTTTGAAGCTTGGGTGGTAAATGCAGCAGCGAGGAGACGGCTGGAGGCAGTGGAGATGTCCTGTTTAAGGGCAAATGTGTGGTGTAAATATTATGCAGAAAAAATTTGGAGTGTGGAATTAGGAAAGGTGGAGTTAAAAAAATATTTGTCAGAGGGCAGAAAAGGGGGTTTTTTGAGGTGGTTTGGGGCATTTAGGAGAATGGATAAAGTTAGAATGAATGGAAAGCATATAAAAAATAGGGGAAGGAAGCGGGGTAGGGTGTCGCCCGAAAGGGTTGGGGGAAGAGGGGGTAAAGGTGGTTTTGTGGGAGGGGCTTGGACTTCCAGCAAGCGTGTTGGATAGGAGTGAAATGGAGGCGAATGGTACTTGGACTGACGATCGTTGGAAGTGTGACCAGGGGTAATAAATTTAGTGAAGGGTTAGGGGAAACCCATTACAGTGGCCCCGGTTAACGAAAACTTTTTTCATTCAGAGAAATGTTCAGTGCCAGATGACGATTTTTCCAAAGGATATTGTGAAGTAGATTAGTCCATTTCAGACCCCAAACTACACGTACAACGCACTTACTTTAAATCACTTAATAATTGGTCACATTTGGAGGTAATCTTATGCGGGGGGGTCCACTGTATTTTCATATAGTCAGACTTGAGTCCTGGAAATGGGAAGTACAATGCCTACATTTTAAAGGAGGGGTTTGGGATATTGGCAGTTTGGAGGGATATGTTGTGTATCTTTATATGTATATGCTTCTTAACTGTTGTATTCTGAGCACCTCTGCAAAAACAGTGATAATGTGTGAGTGTGGTGAAAGTGTTGAATGATGATGAAAGTATTTTCTTTTTGGGGATTTTCTTTCTTTTTTGGGTCACCCTGCCTCGGTGGGAGACGGCCGACTTGTTGAAAAAAAAAAAACATATAAAAATACACAATACATGTATATCTATCCAAACTGCCAATATCCCAAACCCCTCCTTGAGAGTGCAGGCATTGTACTTCCCATTTCCAGGACTCAAGTCCGGTTATATAAAATAACCGGTTTCCCTGAATTCCTTCACTAAATATTACCCTGCTCACACTCTAACAGATCATCAGGTCCCAAATGCCATTTGTCTCCATTCATTCCTATCTAACACGCTCATGCACGCTTGCTGGAAGTCCAAACCCCTCACCCACAACACCTCCTTTACCCCCTATGGAGGCAAAGAAGGGAATGTATGAAAGTATAGTGGTACCAACACTCTTATATGGGTGTGAAGCTTGGGTTGTAAATGCTGCAGTGAGGAGACGGTTGGAGGCAGTGGAGATGTCCTGTCTAAGGGCAATGTGTGGTGTAAATACAGTGGACCCCCGCATAACGATTACCTCCGAATGCGACCAATTATGTAAGTGTATTTATGTAAGTGCATTTGTACGTGTATGTTTGGGGGTCTGAAATGGACTAATCTACTTCACAATATTTCTTATGGGAACAAATTCAGTCAGTACTGGCACCTGAACATACTTCTGGAGTGAAAAAATATCATTAACCGGGGGTCCACTGAAAATTTGGAATGTGGAAATTAGGAGGTGTGGAGTTAATAAAAGTATTAGTCAGAGGGCTGAAGAGGAGTTGTTGAGGTGGTTTGGTCATTTAGAGAGGTAGGGGTCGTCCTCGAAAAGGTTAGAGGGAAGGGGTATAGGAGGTTTTGTGGGCGAAGGGCTTGGACTTCCAGCAAGCGTGCGTGAGCGTGTTTGATAGGAGTGAATGGAGACGAATGGTATTTGGGACCTGACGAGCTGTTGGAGTGTGAGCAGGGTAATATTTAGTGAAGGGATTCAGGGAAACCGGTTATTTTTATATAGCTGGACTTGAGTCCTGGAAATGGGAAGTACAATGCCTGCACTTTAAAGGAGGGGTTTGGGATATTGGCAGTTTGGAGGGATATGTTGTGTATCTTTATACATATATGCTTCTTAACTGTTGCATTCTCAGCACCTCTGCAAAAACAGTGATTATGTGTGAGTGAGGTGAAAGTGTTGAATGATTATGAAAGTATTTTCTTTTTGGGGATTTTCTTTCTTTTTGGGTCACCCTGCCTCGGTGGGAGATGGCCGACTTGTTAAAAAAGAAAAAAATGTCAGGTGCTCTTCGCACCTACTCCAAGGTTGAAGGACTGATTACCTCATCTTCTGTACATAGTTCTACTGTCTTCAAGTTATGTCCTGGAATTTGTATTGATAAAGCCACTGGATGGCAAAACGTCTACAATAAAGATACCCAGATGTTGCACATGTGTCTTAATTTCGAGTCTACTCGTAATGAGTGATGATATGATAGTTTGAAGGGTTCCCCGAACTGTGATGTTAGCATGCTTATGGCAAGGCAGTGATAGACTGAACGATGGTGAAAGTGATTTCCTCTTTTTCTGGGTTACCGTACCTCGGTGGGAGACGGCCAGTGTATAAAAAAAAAAAAAAAAAGTTAATCCTAAGTGCTCGTTCCTGTTACTGGTGCTTCTTGAATAATTTTCGCAAGTGCACAATATATAGTACATGTAAATAAACTTCCAGTAAACAAATCAGGAAAATACTAAAAAATAGTGTATGAAGAAATACCAACCTCTCCAGTCAAGGGTTTTGAAAGTGGGAATATTGAAGTATCAAGGCGACCTCTGACCAGAAACTGAGGAATGCGTGCACGATCACGAACATTTTGCAGTGTTTCTGGTCGTATTTCAAAATTAACTACTTTTTCCTCTTCACTGTCTCCAGATCCGGGCTGGAAAATTAGAATACATTATTTTAAACTTTTAATTTACTACACATGGCTGATACAAATGCAAAATACATGTTTTTAACCAATATGCTATATAGTACTGCTTTTTTGCCAAATGGGTTAAATTTCATATTAATATAAATGTAATATTGTATCCATGTCTGCAAAGGAGAACCAAAAGCTAGTTGCTAGAAACTCTGATATTGCTTTAAATCATGACTAAATCCATGCACATTAGTATGGCCAGGATACCTCAATTATAAACCATATAAGCTTTTTCATGAACACCCATTAAATACCAGAAAACAATACAGCACTTACTTTATATTCAACAATAAATTCTTGTGATTTAGAAACATCCTTAGCTAAAAGGCTGCGCTTGATATCACACCTCAATGAGTACTGAACCATGATGTACACCCCATGATAGGTTTCATACAGAATTTTGGAAGAGGAACGTGGATTGAGGGGAAGCTCAAATGGAATCTCTGTTTGTCCTGAAGGAATCCTGCCTGACTTGGTAACCTCCACCGACTGGCTTATCAGAGATATAGGCTGAAACAGATTTCAAGGTATATAATGAATGGCAATGGCTAAATTTATACTACATGTACTGTAATGATTGAAAATTTAGAAAAAAATATGAGAGAAAAAAGGCTGGTGTTCAAAAATATTTGCTATGAGCATTAGCTTCATTTTTTTTTTTTTTTTTTTTTTAACAAGTCAGCCATCTCCTACAGAGGCAGGGTGACCCAAAAAAGAAAGAAAATCCCCAAAAACAAAATACTTTCATCATCATTCAACACTTTCACCTCACTCACACATAATCACTGTTTTTGCAGAGGTGCTTAGAACACAACAGCTTAGAAGCATATAATTATGGTAAGATAAATTTAGAAGCATATAATTATGGTAAGATAAATTTAATTAATAACTTCTAAAGCTAGGTCTTGGTTATAGATGACAGCTTTTGTCATCTCAAATTCAAATCTGATTGTCCTCAACAATGCTGTTAACCCTTAAACTGTCCAAACACAGATCTACCTTTTTTCAACATTTGAAAGTATGTAAAAAAAAAGTAGATTTTTTTTTTTTTTACATTTGAAAACGTGTAAAAAAACTTTGATCTACGTTTTTTTTTTTTTGTTATATTTGAAAATATGTAAAAAAAAAAAAGTAGATCTACTTTTGGAGCACTATGCATGTGAACGTAGATCAGCTTGGACAGTTTAAGGGTTAAATATGATCTAATAAAAATATAACTTTTGATAACCAACAAACTAATGCTCATCACTGATAAGACCTTCCATAAAGTGTCTGTGAATAAGGATTAAAATATTAAATTCAACATAAAGGTAAACAATATACACACAGAATCAAAATATGAGAAAAATTTCTTTTGTACAGCATACAAAGTGACAGCAAATAAAAATTCAGCACACATCCAACATGTATCTAAGAAAATTTGAAAAAAAAAAAGCGAGGATTCTTTCAAATATATGTTAGTGTACTTCAAACAACATTAACCATTCTGTATTACCCTCTAATTTACCTTCATATTCATTACAGTATATGTGCATGGGAATCTACAACAGCAGGACACCTAAAACCCATTGTAACTCCAAAAAATATGCTATTAGAATAAGCACTCATTCAGGTCTCAGACACATATATGCCATATTTTGATGGTAATATGGTACTGTATTGTAAGAAGAGTGTATCAAATTAAGAAATAATGTGGACTCTTTGAGTAAAGAAGAAAAGACTACTGTACTGTATTTGATAACTGCATACATGTAGAGTAGCACGAAATGAGACTATAATGACAAAAATATGCATTACGTAATACATACAATATTACAGCCTCTCCTCATTTAGCGACATACTCGTTTACTAATGACTCGGACTTACAACAGGCTCTCTGATCAGAATGCATATCTAAATAATGTATATAAGAGCTGATTTCCTCTGTTCTGTTTATTACAATATACAGTACACTACTGTATAAACATTTAAAAATATACTAAAAATGTTATAAATGGTGCAAAAGTGACATTAAAACAATATCAAAGATGGGTGACACAAACCCACTATCATTATAGTGTACTCCTCAATTAGCAACGAATTCATTTACCAATGTGGTCTTAGGAATGAAACTCCGTCGTTAAGTGAGGAGAGGGTGTATATGATGAAAAGCAGTAACATAATTAATGGATGTATGAGTACTGTACAGTATTTTACTATATTCCAACATTGAGGACAGAAAACTCAGGGCTTATTTAAATTTACCCTAGCCAAAGGCAAGAATGTGTCCAAGCACCCATTCATCTAATTACTGGCCAAGCCTAATCATGATTAACACTATAAACTAATAAAATCACTAATAAAATAATCATCTGAATAATATAAAATTTATGTCAGCACCAACTTTAGACTTAACTAAAAGATATAACAAATTTTTTAAGGAATATGAAAAAAATACTGGAGTGTACACAAATATGCGCTCTACCTTGGAAGAATTAACAAGTGATTCAATCAGTCCAGCACTCCTTGGAGACAGTTGTACATTTAGCAATACCACCCAATAGTGAGGGTGTTGCCTTTCTTTGTTTCCCCTCTAAAAGGGAAGGTCCACCCACCAGCACTCCCTAACAATTTCCTGCAAACAGAAAAGACCTGGAGAGATACGTCAACAAGTTACGAATCATGCAGCAGTTTATTTTTACAGTTTTGGGTGGGATTTTTTACCCGATTTAAAAATTTTCAAAAAATGCGGGAAAATTTAAGAGGGAATATGATTCACAAGAAAAAAACCCCCCCTTTCGGGGAAAGGTTCCCTTGATGCTGTGAGAGGTCTTGTCTGGGGAAAATTGAATCTGTGCTCCGTTCCCTAAATTTAAGCCGAATCCCTTTTCTACATCCTCCCCACAGGTGCTGTTTAAATTTTGGGGGGTTTTAGCCCCTTCCCCTTGATTATAATAAAATTATAATAAAAATAAGAAAAATTAAAAAAAAATTAAGGATTGTTGAAGAGGAAAAATTTTTAAAAAAAAAGATGTTGAAGATATAAAAAAAAAAAAAAGGGAACTCTCAACGGGGAAATGCTGTATAGTCCTTGTGGCTTAGGCTTCTTTTTGATTATAAAATAAAAATAATAAACATTTGGACTTCAATGAGTTTTAAATTAAAAAAATAAGAAAGACTATAAAAAGGGAAATGGTTTGTAAGGAGTGGCTGTGGTGGAATCCCATGTAAATTTAGCATCACTGAATTTCAATACTGAAATGGGGGTTTACATTAATTGGGACATACTATATATAGTGAAAGAAATGGGCCAGTAGATTTAGTTTTTTAAAAAAGGGCAAAAGGGGCCATATTGGAAATTTTAAAATTGCATTTTTTTTATTTAAATAGGACCCCCACTTTATCAAATTTATTTTTTTAAATTAGTAATTTAAGCCTACAAAAAAGAGGTACAAAAATTTAAAGGTAAGAGCAGCAGGGCCAAACCCATTTTTTATGAATAGCTTTTCGGGTGGTTTAAAAATTTAACTTAAGTTAAAAACAAAAGCAATGATGAAACAGTGATAAAAAAATTATTGAAAACAGTTTTAACTAAAAAAGCAAAAAAGGGGTTTATTAAAAAAGACAGGTCATAGGGTTTTTGCTTGCATTCCCTGAAACATTCAGTCGAATGGAGTTTTTCTGTTAGGTGTGTTTTTTAAAAAATTAAAAGGTTAGTTTGGGGTTTCCTGGTTTAAATTTGTGTTTTTTTAAAAATTGTGAGAAACCCTTAAAAGGATTTTAAAAAATTTTATAAGGTTCGTTTTTTGTATTTATTTGGTTTTGAGTGAGTTTACCGGGAAATTTTACCTGGAGAGATTTCCGGGGGTAAACCGCCCCCGGGCCCCGGTTTTCGGAGCCCAGGCCCCCTGGGGGAAATCAGAGCCTGATCCCCCAGGCTGTTGCTGCGGGGCTGCACGAAAACCAACTTTACGGCCACAGCACGGCGGGACCCGGGAAAACTGACTTTAGGTGTTGTCCAGTTGCCAGCTTAAAAGATCCCCAGGGGTCTTTTGGGTTTAATCCCCCTTATGTGGTTTGGGAAAGGCGGGTTGAAACGTTGGGGCCCCCTGAAAATTTTTGTTTTGGTTCTTAAGTGCTAGGGGGAACCCCTGCTTTTCATTGGGGGGAGGGTTTGATGTCTCCCAAAGTCTTTTGCTTTCTTTAGGGGGGTGATTTTCGTGTGAAAAGTTCGGGTACTAGCCCCCTCTGGATTTTCCAGGTGTATATAATCATGTAACTCTCCCTCCTGGTTCCAGGGAATACAGGTTTTTGGAAAACCTCAAGCGCTCCCCTAATTGAGGTGTTTTATCTCCGTTATGGCGCCCTTTAAAGTTCTCTGTACTTTTTTTAGGTCGGCAATTTCACCTGCCTTGAAAGGTGCTGTTAGTGTGCAGCAATATTCAGCCTAGATAGAACAAGTGACCTGAAGAGTGTCATCATGGGCTTGGCCTCCCTGGGTTTTGAAGGTTCTCATTATCCATCCTGTCATTTTTCTAGCAGATGCGATTGATACAATGTTATGGTCCTTAAAGGTGAGATCCTCCGACATGATCACTCCCAGGTCTTTGACGTTGGTGTTCGCTCTATTTTGTGGCCAGAATTTGTTTGTACTCTGATGAAGATTTAATTTCCTCATGTTTCCATTCTGAGTAATTGAATATTTCTCATCGTTGAACTTCATATTGTTTTCTGCAGCCCCTGAAAGATTTGGTTGATGTCTGCCTGGAGCTTTGCAGTGTCTGCAATGGAAGCCCACTGTCATGCAGATTCGGGTGTCATCTGCAAAGGAAGACACGGTGCTGTGGCTGACATCCTTGTCTATGTCGGATTAAGGATGGGGAAAACAAGATGGGAGCGAGTACTGTGCCTTGTGGAACAGAGCTTTTCACCGTAGCTGCCTCGGACTTTACTCTGTTGACGACTACTCTCTGTGTTCTGTTAGTGAGGAAATTTTTAGATCCATCGACCGACTTTTCCTGTTATTCCTTTAGCACGCATTTTGTGCGCTATTACGCCATGGTCACACTTGTCGAAGGCTTTTGCAAAGTCTGTATATATTACATCTGCATTCTTTTTGTCTTCTAGTGCATTTAGGACCTTGTCGTAGTGATCCAATAGTTGAGACAGACAGGAGCGACCTGTTCTAAACCCATGTTGCCCTGGGTAAGTGATCTTTGAGAAGAGACTTGAATTTATAAACAGGTAGTGTTTCTTTTATATTTACAGGTAATGAATTCCAGATTTTAGGGCCTTTTATGTGCACTGAGTTTTTGCATAGCGTGAGATGGACACGAGGAACATCAAAGAGTGATCTGTGCCTTGTGTTATGGTCATGATAAAACTTTGACAAAGCTAAATGTCATTTATTAAAAGTTATCGTATAGCATTTGTTTTTTATATATGATTTATCGGTATTTTATACCACCTAACCCAGGTTTATTGTAGTACTACTCTATAATGTTCTTAAAACATAAACAAGTATTGTACTTTGAAGCTAAATTTAAGGAAGCATGCATTGCTAGTCACTATATCTCTAATATATGATATCAATGTATAGAAAGAAGCTTAGGCATCTAGGTAAAAATTACTTATTTATATTGATTAACCATTTGTTAATTCATTACAAATTATGCACTGAATCCTATTAATAATTATGAACATAAGCACACAAGTTCACAAATATAACTACACCATACATACACCCTGATGATAGATCTTGCTTGATCTCTTCAGCTGTATATCAACAGTAAGAGACATGGTAAAGGTAGAATTTAATTTCTTTCCACAATAAAATCTACGAAGCTACATTTTTTTTCTAAATCGGAGACGCCCCCAACTGTTTATATCGTTTTATCTCAGAATAATCCAGCGTGAGACTATGAGCTCGTTATCCGCTGAAACTTGTCACATTAGGGGCTGGACTCGTCCCGTGGTAACACCCTTGGTACGTTAGGATACTTATTTATTTATTTATTTATTAATTTGAACATGATACAGTGTAGTACAAAAGAATACAGTACTTAGAGTGAAAGATTGAGTAGCTAAGTTGCGTGTCTGCAGTTATGGTATGTTTTGTGTGCTTGTGGATGCTTGGTTGTGCTGAGATGTGTGACTGAGATATTGGATTTTTTTTTTCTACTTTCTGGGCATTTTGTATAGCAAGCTGGGCAAAACGGTTTTGTTCGGTAAAATAAGCAAGCACGGCCACGGTTGGTTTCTATATTTGTGTATATTTGTATAAAAAATTTTTTGTTAATGTTTTATTCGGTGACGTAGAAATGTACATGTGGGTCTTCCCCAGTGTTTACGTAGGCATGTTCATGATATTGTGTCATATAAACGTCACACTGATGTCAGACTCAATTAATAGTGTTTATTGCCTTGATAGGGGTTAATTTTAAGCATTATAATTGGTCTATAATCGACAACTTGTCCTTTGGGGCGCCTTTTGTAAAATGACCAACAGCGTGTAAATTTTACCTTATTCCTTGTAATGACCCTCGTATTGTAGATAGTCTTAATGACCTTGATGTAGCAGATAGTCTTTTTAGTATGATAATAAGATGTTATCTTCATTGTAGAATAATAAGAAAATATTATAACCTTTATACTATAATAATAAGGTAAAAGGACCCCAATGGAAATAAGTCACTCTGTCTGACTTTTTTGGGTTATCCTAGGTTCTCTACACATATGCTGCTATGTATGATAATTCTATGTAACTGTATTTGTGTATACCTGAATAAACTTACTTACTTACTTACTTAAGAACATAGGAACGAAGGGACACTGAGCAGGCCTACTGGCCCATGCGAGGCAGGTCCAAGTCTCCTACCGGCTTAAGCCAATGCACCCAACCTAGTCAGGTCAGGTCACATTGACTTAAGGGAGGAACACGGCAACTGACCTGGTAGCACAAGCTATCAGGTCCAACTCACACCCACCCACATCCACTCATGTATTTATCCAATCTATTTTTAAAGCTACACAACGTTCTGGCCTCTATAACTGTACTTGGGAGTTTGTTCCACTCATCCACAACTCTATTACCAAACTAGTACTTTCCTATATCCTTCCTGAATCTGAATTTTTCCAACTTAAAACCATTGCTGCGAGTCCTGTCTAGGCTAGATATTTTCAGCACACTATTTACATCCCCTTTATTTATTCCTGTCTTCCATTTATACCTGGAGTTTACCTGGAGAGAGTTCCGGGGGTCAACGCCCCCGCGGCCCGGTCTGAGACCAGGCCTCCTGGTGGATCAGAGCCTGATCAACCAGGCTGTTGCTGCTGGCTGCACGCAAACCAACATACGAGCCACAGCCCGGCTGATCCGGAACTGACTTTAGGTGCTTGTCCAGTGCCAGCTTGAAGACTGCCAGGGGTCTGTTGGTAATCCCCCTTATGTGTGCTGGGAGGCAGTTGAACAGTCTCGGGCCCCTGACACTTATTGTATGGTTCTTAACGTGCTAGTGACACCCCTGCTTTTCATTGGGGGGATGGTGCATCGTCTGCCAAGTCTTTTGCTTTCGTAGTGGGTGATTTTCGTGTGCAAGTTCGGTACTAGTCCCTCTAGGATTTTCCAGGTGTATATAATCATGTATCTCTCCTCCTGCGCTCCAGGGAATACAGGTTTAGGAACCTCAAGCGCTCCCAATAATTGAGGTGTTTTATCTCGTTATGCGCGCCGTGAAAGTTCTCTGTACATTTTCTAGGTCGGCAATTTCACCTGCCTTGAAAGGTGCTGTTAGTGTGCAGCAATATTCCAGCCTAGATAGAACAAGTGACCTGAAGAGTGTCATCATGGGCTTGGCCTCCCTAGTTTTGAAGGTTCTCATTATCATCCTGTCATTTTTCTAGCAGATGCGATTGATACAATGTTATGGTCCTTGAAGGTGAGATCCTCCGACATGATCACTCCCAGGTCTTTGACGTTGGTGTTTCGCTCTATTTTGTGGCCAGAATTTGTTTTGTACTCTGATGAAGATTTAATTTCCTCATGTTTACCATATCTGAGTAATTGAATTTCTCATCGTTGAACTTCATATTGTTTTCTGCAGCCCACTGAAAGATTTGGTTGATGTCTGCCTGGAGCTTTGCAGTGTCTGCAATGGAAGACACTGTCATGCATATATCCCCCCTAATTCTACGTCTTTCTAGAGAGTGCAGATTCAGGGCCCTTAGTCTATCCTCATAGGGAAGGTTTCTGATACATGGGATCAACTTTGTCATCCTCCTTTGTACATTTTTCAGAGCATTTATATCCATTCTGTAATACGGTGACCAAAACTGTGCAGCATAATCTAAATGAGGCTAACCAAGGATGTATAGGTTGAAGAACAACTGAGGACTCCTATTATTCATGCTTCTTGATATGAAGCCAGGATTCTATTAGCTTTATTGCGAACACTTATGCACTGTTGTCTTGGTTTCAGATTACTGCTAACCAGAACTCTAAATCTTTTTCGCAATCCGTAATATTAAGATCTTCATTATTTAGTTTATATGTGGCATGGTTATTGTCCTGTCCAACATTTAGAACTTTGCATTTGTCTATATTAAACTGCATCTGCCACTTCTCCGACCGCTGCATCAGTCTATTCAAATCTTCTGGAGTGCTTAATGTCCTCGTCAGAATGAATTCGACGGCCTATTTTGGTGTCATCGGCAAACTTGCTGATGTCGCTCTTTATGCCCTCATCTATTTCGTTTATGTAGACTGTGAACAGTAGGGGGCCCAACACTGACCCCTGTGGAACACCGCTCGTGACGCTTCCCCCACTCTGATTTCTCCCATTTATGCAAACTCTCTGCTGCCTATTTGTCAACCATGCCTCTATCAAGGAAAAAATTTCTCCTCCTATTCCATGTGCCTTAATTTTCCTCAATAGTCTCTGATGTGGGACCCTGTCAAAAGCCTTACTGAAGTCCATAAAACACAATATCATATTCATTACCATGATCTCCCTCCTCAAATACCTTAGTGAAAAAAGTTAATAATTCGTAAGGCAGGAACGCCCCTTTGTAAAAACCTTTGCTGAGATTCGTTGATTAATTTATGCTTTTCAAGGTGGCTACGAACTGCCTCGGCAATTATTGATTCCATAAATTTTCCCACTATGGAGGTTAGGCTTATTGGTCTATAGTTCGAAGCTAAGGACCTGTCACCTGCTTTGAAAATAGGTATCACATTTGCCATTTTCCACTTATCTGGCACCATGCCAGTTTGTAGTGATATGTTGAAAAGATTAGCCAAAGGTTTGCTAAGCTCCTCTTTACATTCCTTTAGAACCCTTGCATACAGTTCATCAGGGCCTGGGGATTTATTAGGTTTTTAAATTTGATCTATTTGCCTAAGGACCATGTCACTTGTGACCTAATCGTGCACGTTTATTATCGTCCTGTTCTACATAATTTATCATTTCTGGAATATCGCTGGTATCCTCCTGTGTAAAAAACTGAGGGGAAAGTATGTTTTAAAAAAATTCTACACTTTTCCCTTTATTACTGTCAGTGAGCTGACCCGAGGAATTTTTGAGTGGGCCTATCTTGTCCCTGATCTTACTTCTGTATACCTGAAAGAACCCTTTTTGGGGTTTAGTCTTCGATTCTCTTGCAAACTTTAACCTCATAATCTCTTTTTGCTTTTCTAATTCCCTTTTTTATTCTCTCTTTAACTGAATATATCGATTTCTTAATTGCCCTCTCCTCTTTTGATTTGCCTTATATGCCTCTCTTTGACCAATCAGTATTTTAATCTATTGTTATCCATTTAGGATCATTTTTGTTTGATCTGATTTCCTATTGGAACATAATTTGACTGAGCAGTGGGAACTATGCCCTGGAAAGCGTCATATCGGCACCATCACCACCTACTACTTAGTCAGGTCATTCCAGTTCAGCCACCTAAGTATTTTTCAGTCCTATGAAATTAGCCAACCCGAAAGTCAGGGACAGAGACTTGATTGCCATTATAAGGGGAATTCCATGATATATTAAAACTGAGTGATTTGTGATCACTTTCCCCAAGCTCATCATTAACCTCAAGATTATTAATTAGTGTTTCCCTACTGGCAAGAACCAAGTCAAGGAGGTTATTTCCCCTAGTTGGCTCTGTCACAAACTGTTTTAGAAAACAATCCTGGATCGTATCAAGAAAGTCACCTGACTCTAAATTTCCTGTCAAATTGCTCCAGTCAATCTGTCTATAGTTGAAATCTCTCATTAGCACAACATTTTCGTATGTAGATGCCTTACGAATTTCGTCCCATAGAAGTTTACTGCACTCCCTATCAAGGAGGTTTGTCGTTCATTTTTTTTATGGAATGGCACAGTATAGCATCTACTTATGGTTTCCTCAAGTTACGTAGTCATCTATAGACTCCTATTATAATTTTAAGGATTTGATGATGGATAATGTGTTGGTGTGATGAAACAGGTTTTTCAACAGAGGGGGGGGGGGGGTACGTCGAAGTATTCCCACAGTTAACCTTATGGCTAACATACTTTTTTGGTGCTAATATTGATTGTACATGTTTAGGAACTTACAACTGATAACCTTGGTATCACCCTTCCTTTTGATAATAATAAATTATCTTGATTCCATGTGTCAATACTGCACCCACCTCGAGGGCTGTAGTCTAAACCTTTTGTATTGATCGTGCAATATAATTTATTTTATACCTGTACTTTTGTCATGTGGAGTTTTTCAGTATAATATATTTATATCAATAACACAGCAGGACATATACCTGATGTTAAATGATGCTTATGTTACAGTTGTAGGTATAATATTTGTTGATTTTTCGTGGTTTCACATACAAGTTTTGTTACCACTTATCATCGTCAATTATGTTTTATTTGTTTTTTCAATAATGCGCTGGATAGTGAGTTTTGGACACTGTAGAGATTTGTT